GGCATCTTCAGAGGACAGCACTCTGTGCTCTGGTGTAGTTTGCTTGGGAGTGGAGTATTTATGGCTGTGAGATAGGCTTCTGTCCTATTCAGGGGATGGGTGATTAGTGTGTCTTGTTGTGGATGTATTGTTGTGATAAGGAGGAGAGATTATCTATCACTATGATTGATGGGCGTCATTAGCTGGTCTTTTGTGTGTAGTGATCCCCGGTCCTTGTGGCTGGGTAGAGGTCGTTGACCTTTTGTACACTGTATTTTTCAGAGCTGGAAGCCAAGTTTTGTTGAGTTTCATCCTCTCCTCTTTTTTGTTGAAGTTCTGCTGGTGCTTGTGGATTTCAATGGCTATAGGATCTCCCCTTCTTTCAGACATTACTGGCTTTCTTAGCTAGGTCATCTCTTCTATAAATAAAGTAGAATAAAACAAGAAAAAGTCCACTATGGCATGCTATCCAAAGCCAACTCAGTTATATAAACTATATGAGTGCCTTTTAGATGGACTGTTATGTACTACTGCTCTGATTGGGTCCTTAGTACCACTACTGGGGTTTAACATCTCTCACAGTTGTGTTTGTTTGTCCCTTTTAAATATTTGCATACTTCTTATTTTAGCTTTAATATTGTCTTTTAATGATGTAAGCTGCCTCTTTCTACTCACTGTTTTCAGCTTTAAATATTATCTTTAAATTATGTAAACCTTAGCCTTGGGTCCTTTCAAAGGAGAAAGGTGGAATAAAAATATTTTAAATAAATAAATAAAATTTTGTTGCCTAAAGGGGCAAATCCAGTGAGGCAGCCCAGCAGCCCTGGAAGGGCATTCAATGGTGTTTTGTTTTTTTTAGTTTGTAATTTTTTTTAGTTTGTTATTGTTCTCCTTCTGCCTCCAGGGATGAGCAGAGATCCATGTGGGATCTCTTTCTTTCATGCAACTGGAAAAAGATATTTTGGGAAAACTATGATTTCCAGAAAGCTCATGCTAGCTGGGAAATTCTAGGAGTTGCAGCTTTTATCATACCTGATTTTTTAATTTTTTGTTTTTATACTATTTAAATATTGTAGAGTTCCATACAGTAGTTCCTGCCCAGCTGCTAAGAATGCATCTGGTGTAGTGTTACATTAAATAATTATTGGTTATTACAGGTGGGAATTTTTGAACAGCTCCCACTGTAATTAATATAGATTTTTTTTAAAATGTAAAAGGAGAAAAAGAGGAAGTCACCACCATCCCTCCTGTGAAAACCTCTCAAAATATATCAACCTCTACACCCAAAATAATTGAAGGAGGAATAATTATAGATATTAATTGACCATTTGTTATTAATAAATAATTGATACTTATTGTTACTACTTTAATGGTTGTATTTATGTAGGTGCAATAAATAATACAGTGTTTCCCCGAAAATAAGACAGGGTCTTATATTAATTTTTGTTCCAAAAACACATTAAGGTTTATTTTCTGGAAAACAGGGTATTTAATTAATAATTCTGCTTTATTTATTAAGGAGAAATGTAATTATAATTAGGTGCACAATTCAGTTGCATTCTTTTTTTTTTTAAAAAAAAATTCTCAGTCATGTATGTGTTTATAAATGAAGTAATAAAAACACACATCCATAATAGCTGTAATGGCTATTCCTGTTAGTCGGAGTGGCAAGCTGAATGGTGGAGGGTGGAATTCATTCAGTCTAACCTTGTCTCTGTTGTTGTATCAATGTGCATGCCAAATTTTTAAAAACTGTGGCCTAAATTTAATTGCTGGTCCCAGCGAGGTTAGACCTGATGAATCAATGGAATTTATATACTCATTGAATTACCAAACTCCTCTTTGTTTTCTAGGTTTGCTGTAGTTGGGGCTGAAAAATGCATTTTGCGTATTGGGTTTTTAAAAAATATTTTTACCTTATACTGTATTTATCCAAGAATAAAAGTAGAATTTTAACTCAGAATGTGCTCTATGTAATGTTCTGTGATTTTTCTGCATTTGCCTTCGCGAATACAAATCACTAGCAGTCCACAGCAATGGCTGTAATTTTCCTTCTCTCCCCTAATATAACAGGTATATATGAGAGCTCTCTTCTCCTACAATCCGAAAGAAGATAAAGCCATCCCTTGCCAAGAGGCTGGGCTGCCATTTCAGAAGAGGCAAATCTTAGAGGTAGTAAGCCAGGATGACCCAACATGGTGGCAGGCCAAACGCATGGGAGACACAAACCTTCGGGCGGGTCTGATCCCTTCCAAGCAATTTCAGGAAAGGTGAGTTGGGGCCAGCAGTGGTGTGGTGTTCCAAGCCAGAGCTAGTAATTAAAAGCTCAAACAAAACTTGGGCTCACTTTGAATGTCGTAGCAAACTAGAGTACAGTAATTTCTCTGTTTTGGGCTACATCTCCCACAATGCCCATTGGCCAAGTTAGTTGGAGGAGTTATTGGTCAAAAGAAGATTTATAACAAATTCTGGGGTCACACGTGTCCTCCTCCATTTCTCACAAAGGGAAGAAGAGAAAGTCGGAAGTTGCTGCTTCTAGTTTGTGACAAACCATATTTTGCTGCTATGTAAAAATGTAACAAACTATACTTTGCTTGACCCATAGTATGTCCTCAAACCAGCATCCAATGCCACTCTTAAACCATGGTTTTACCATCCTGGTTTGAGGGCAAACTGTCTTCTCACATTGGGATGAAATCACGAAGGATGGTTTGCTACAACTTAGAAATGGACGTTTTTAATTTCCTCTCTGCATGTGGCATCTTTGATTAGCTACAGATATACCATGGTAGCGTTACTACCTCTGGATTGAGTTTATTCTTTCTCTCCAGATTGAATGAAGGGCCATATGGACAGATCTCAAAGATTGGAGCAGGTTCCTTTAAGAGGCAATGGACCTTTGGATACCATGATCCTAAGCTGTTTAACACTTTGTAGATCAGGCTTTGCAATTTGTGCCTGGTCTGTTATATGGACTGATAGCCAGTGAAGTTGGTGCATAAAGGAAGCCCCATGCTCGTTAAAATTGGCTCTAATCGGCAGCCTGGCTGCAATTGCCCAGGCCAGAGGAGTTTTCCAAAAAGTCCTCAAGGTCAGTGTGATTTTATATTACCTGTAGGTCTCTGCTGCAAAAACTGCACCAGCTTTAATTCATTCCCAGTATTAGTTCAGAGTGTTGGTATTAACTTTGTACAGTCTGGGTGAAAAACATGTGGCCCTCCAGTTGTTGTTGAACTACATTTTCCATCAATCCAAGCCACCATAGCTAATGTCGAGGGATGATGGAAATTGTGCCCTGCAGCATCTGGAGGAGCACAAACTGCCTATCCTTGTTTTACAGCCTTTCATAGGTAGGGGACCAGTTTTTTTTAAAGAACTAGTAGTCTTCTTTATATAATCAAATAGGCTGGCAGCCTGATATCTTTCAGACATTTTGGACTGCTACTCCCCATAATCCCTGCCCATTGGCCATGGTGACTGGGATTGATCAGACCTGAAGAGGCCTCCCTTCAGGTTCCCCCTTCCAGCTGAATTGGGGGGAAAGCCTACTTGCTTAGTGGCACCTCGTCTGCTCTCTCAAAGAGCTTGTCTTGATATTTTTTTCACAGGTTCGCAAAGTGCTCTTTTAAAAAAACCCACCTCTTAAGCTTTTTAACCCCCTGTGTAATGCTTTTCAATGCCATGTGAGTTATTTGCTCTACTTCTGCTGAATGCTTTTGTTCTGCTTTTCTCCTTACTATTTATTAGCTATGTTGATACCTAGTATTTAACATCGTTGTGCGAGGCACCACTGTACCTAGCATTCTCTTTAATGAGCTCAATATGGCATATATGGCTCTCCTCCTTACTATATCTTCACAACAATTCTCTGAGATAGGTCAGAATGAAAGAGAGGGACTGGCTATAGATCAGCCAGCAAATTTCTGACTCAATGTGGACTGGAAGCTGGGTCTCCCACATCCCAGCCCATCACTCTAAACATTACATTGCACTGGCTGTATTATTATGATGGTTTCATGCTCCTGTTTTCATCTAGATTCCAATCCTCCTAAATGTCATATTCTGCATTGGAGCCAAGTATTTCTGTATAACCTGAAAAGCAGGATCCTTTCAGCTGGCTGTGGCAAATTTTGCATACTTATTATGAAGACTAATTCCACCCACCCCTCTGCAGCCATACTGAGTGTGCTGAAACAACACAATCCATCTCCTCTGGATAGAGAGATGCAAGTTGCCATTGCAAATTTTTCTCTTCTTAAAAATTGATTTTTGTTGCTAAGAAAGGAACCAGTCAGTGGTAATAGAAATAAGTGTTCAGCATTTTGCAAACTGGCTGCTTTCCACCTTTAATCATGGGGTTTTTCTTTGATTATTCATCTTTGGAAAGGCTGTCCTCCCCTCTGCCTGCAGCAAATATTTAATAAATACAATGGATGAAACCCAGAAGCAAAGAGTGTTGCAGTGCTGCATATAGGTTTAACTTTGTTTACATTCTGTACGAACTCTGTACAGGGGTGTAGGAAAAGCCTACAGTAGAAAGGAAGTACAAAATGTCTTTCTCATCTTGTGCTAAATGACTGTGAAAATAATTTTCTTCCAGAGAAGATCTGAGTTACCCCTTGTGGGCCAAACTGCATGGGACTTGAAATATGTATCACGAGATCCCCTTCTTTGTATAAACTCAAAAATAAGTGTGCACAACCCTAGTATACTTCGGAATCAGTGTTCATCCGAGAGGAAATTTAAGCCTTCCATCTCATTTGGTTTTTATTTTAAAAGTTGCTCCTTCCTTCCAGATGGGTTAAAAGAAGAAATTGAACATCTGCAAGTCAGGGATTTATTTGTTGCTAGTTTTTAAACCTCTCCGCGCCCCAGTTTTTAGATAAAATTCAGGTGGGAGGAGGCCTGAGCTGTGCACGCTGAACTGGGAGTGGAGCAGTTTATTCTCATGCAGATTAAAGACTCTATAGCTGCCTACTACGTGTTGCTGTAGCTTGTGCTTTGACCCTCGGATTCACATCCCTTGAACAAATGTATTGATTTGTTACACAGTTTAGATCCTGTGTCTGAATTCCTCGGAGTTTGAGAACATTACTTTTTTGGATCACAACTCCAGAATCTCCCAGCCAGAATGCTGGAGATTTTTGGAGTTGTGGTCCGAAAATAACTCAAAGCTCTAAAATTCGTGGATATGGCATTTTCTAGGTGACTGTCCCTGAAGGAAAAATTAGAAAGTAGGGTCAGAATTCAGGCTTGAAATCAGTACCACGGACAGTTCTAAATAGAGCTGAGCAGACTTAATCAGGATAACTAGAAGCACATTGAACAACTGCATGCACAGATGTCTAGAGCCAGCCAGAGGCTTTAATAAAGGATGTGAGTTATTCCTTAAACCAGGTGGTGGGGTGGAGAACCCTTGGTTTGCCAGATGTTTTGTAATTAATCTTCCCAGAGATTTTGCTAGCATGGCCAATGGTGAAGTGTGGGAGACATAGCCACAAACATCTAGAAGGCCACAAGTTCCTCATTCCTGAAACCTGTCAATTGTCTGCTTTTTTGTACCAGCACTGAACAGAAGATATGTCTAAATCTACTGGGAGGTCTCTGGAAGATGAATAAAGATTTGTGACTCCTGTTGTTTAGCAATGGTAGCAGCCACATAACTCCTGTTCCTTCTCCTGCTGAAAGGAGGAAAGCTTAGGGCGTCCAGAGTAAATTTTTACAAGGAAGGACTATGTGCTTGTTCTGAGTGTTTTGTGTTCAACAAATTTCTGGGCTTAGAATTTTTTAATTCTTAAATGTATTCTTGGGGCACTTTGGGGCTATCGTGAAAAACAAAATAAAAACAAAATAGATAGCACAAGCTTTATGTCTATCCATCCCGCTTTATTAATTCCCTGGGAAGTTATTGCTGAATGCCAAGTTGAATGTTACTCCTTTTATAATAAGTGATGGGCCTATTTGAGATTCAGACATCTCAGTGTCTAAGAAGGTAGTTTTATTGGACGAGGAAGAAAAGCTATTGATTACTTGCTAACATGTTACTTTTGTTACGTGACTGTCTTTTGCAGAGGCACACAGGACACGTTTTCCAGGGAAGTCAGCAGCCAGAAGATTAAGACCAAACTTTATCTACTCTTTTTAAAAAAAGGAGTGAGAAAAGAGGAAAAGCGGTGGAGTGGTCAAAGACTCCATAATAATAAGGAGAGGGAGAGGGTTCTGATAGGTTCTGTAAAAGGAAGGTAGAGAGCTAGCAGGTATAAGAAGAAAAACAAAGTGCAAAGACAACGGTGTGACTTCATGGTTAGAAAGCTGGACAAAGACTAGGTGGACCCAAGTTCAAATCCTTACTCAGTCCAGTGAAGATTGTGGGGTAATCATCAGTCATATCTCATTCTAGCCTACCACACAAGTAGGAATGTGGAGAATACTTGCTCAGTTCTTTGTTTGTCTTGAATTAGGCTATTGATCAGTTGCCTCAACAAGGAATTTTCAAGCCCTATGAAATTCCTCACAGCTAGGAGAGAGTGAGGCAAGGAGGGTGATTTTTTCCTCATTAAATTCTTCAATACTTGTGCACACTTGTATGCAGAACTCGCATCCTTTTCCTTTGAGAATCAAAATGCACAAACACAGCAAGTGCAGAAGAATGGTTGTTAAAAGAGACACAAGCAGCCCATTTGAGGCTTCAAAGTCAACACAATAAAGCAACAACTGTTGTCATTTCACTCTAGTTCAGTTATTTGTGTTAAAAATACTATCTTGAACAGTTTTGCTTATTTTGTGAATAAATTGTTCACCTTCCCTTCTCTGGAATGCCACATTCACAGGGCGAGGAGAATAATTCCTCAGTCCTTCATCACTGTCTGCAAGGATCAGAGAATTGAGCTTTTACATCCTTTCTCAAAGGATGTTTGCGAGGAGAATAATTCCTCAGTCCTTCATCATTGTCTGCAAGGATCAGAGAATTGAGCTTTGTGGATAAAACTGGAGAGGACAAACCATGTATGCCAGTCTGAGGTCTTGTGAATAAAAATTTCTTCTTCGTGGCCTCTGTGAATGCATACAAGTGGGTTTGTTTTGTGCCTGCACAGGAGGAGAATAATTCCTCAGTCCTTCATCATTGTCTGCAAGGATCAGAGAATTGAGCTTTGTGGATAAAACTGGAGAGGACAAACCATGTATGCCAGTCTGAGGTCTTGTGAATAAAAATTTCTTCTTCGTGGCCTCTGTGAATGCACACAAGTGGGTTTGTTTTGTGCCTGCACAAGAGGATTCAGAACTTTCTAGAGCTTAAAAAAGATTTGACAATGAGACATCCCCCCACGGAGTGCAAGCTCCACCCTCCAATCTTCCTCTCAGTTCCTTTTTCTCCACCGTGTGGTTAGGATGTTGGGAACAACTAGAGTGTTTAACTGTGAGTATTACTCATTGAAAATATCCTTTTTGATAATTGAACTCTCAGATTCTATAATAATCATCATTATTTTACATCTCCTTGTGATTAACTTCTATTGTTATCCCCACATACAACTTTTTTGGCTTCCTGTGTTTCCTCCCCCCAACAACGATGTCCCCTTCTTCCCATTTTTACGGCCCCTCAGAACTGTTTAAACAATGCGATCTTTGTGGGGGGAAAATCCCGCTTACGGACAGGCACGACAAATACTTATTTTGCTTGGGGGAAGAACACCAAACCCAGTTGTGTCCTGAATGTAAGAAGTTAACAAAACCAGCAATAAAACTCAGATTACAATGATTAAGGTCATATTTCTGGGAGAAATTTCTTCACCCAACCATGGATACACTTACCTCACCAACAACGAAGGACTCAGGGCGCCCAGAGCCAGTCTAATCAGTATTGAGCCTGATGGCCTGATCAATATCTGGCCTGGTGCCAACTCCAGTAAGGCAAAAGGAGTCATCCAAGCCTTCAGTAAAGACCAGCTCGACATCCTCATCTAAAACCAAGAGTCACTCCAATGAAGCCACTAAGAAAAAGAAAGATAAAAACATTGGTATCATACAGACAATATCATTGACATATGAACTTTCAGGCAAAGCACCCCCTGAACATTTAAAAGCGCATTCCACTAGAGCATTATCAACATCTACGGCTCTCCATCGAGGGATAGAACTACCAAACATCTGCCGAGCAGAAACATGGTCCAACCCATTGACCTTCATTAAGCATTAACGCCTTGATGTAAGATTGAAGAATGATGCTGCATTTGGCAGAGCAATCTTGACATCTTTACTACCGTGATGTCCCACCATCCAGTAAGTGAGCTTGTCAGTCACCCACTTGTGGGTATTCACATAGGACACGAAGAAGAAAAAGAGGTTACCTACCTGTAACCATGGTTCTTCTAGTGGACCCCTGTGAATTCACCCAATCCCTCCCTTCCTCCCCTCTGTCCGTCATGTTGTCTTCCAATATACTACCTTGACAGCGGCGGACTATGGAAGGAACTGAGGGGAAGATTGGAGGGCGGAGCTTGCGCTCCACAGGGGGGCGGAATGTATCATTGTCAAATCTTTTTTAAGCTCTAGAAAGTTCTGAATCATCCTGCGCAGGCACAGAACAAACCCATTTGTGTGAATTCACAGAGATCCACTAGAAGAACCATGGTAGAACAGGTAGGTAACCTCTTTTTATATTGGAGAGGCACAAAATGCCTAAGTTTCTGGTTACTTAAAACTGCTTTTTAATAAAAAGTTCATGTGTGTGTGTGTGTGTGTGTGTCTGCGTGAGACAGAGCGCCAACACTTGCCATATTTTTGCTGTGTGGTCTGTTACTTCTCAGTGGAAAAAATATGAGGGATCAGAGTCCAGACTGAGTTAAGTGCACTTAGTTGCAGTTCGAATCAATGGGAATTAAAATCTAACCTGCAGATTGCTTTACTCATGCTCTTTTTTTAAAAATAGGCATAATATTGGCAATACTTATTTGAAGTGGAAGGAAGCATCCCACGCTTCTTAATCTAGAGCACGCATTTGAGAATTTAACTCTAAATGTCCCTCCCTCCCCACCCACCCACCATTCTGTTGGGTATAAAGAGCACTTCTGAGAGCAAATAGTGCCCATAGCACAGGCTCAGCAGGAAACTGGTGTGGATGTCTGATCTGGATCAGAAACACTTTCTTCGAGTTTCTCCACTTCAGAATAAAAGTGGCAATTTTACAGCCTCCTCCCCTTTTAAACGTGTGAATGAAGTAAAGTATAGGGTAGGTTTTAAAGTGCCGTATATTTTGGTAGGAACAAATGAGCACACCGAACTTAATCTGCATTAACATATGATTGAGGGCTCTCATTTTTCCTTTCTGTTTGAATGACATCGTTCTTGCTTTCACATGTAGGCGTTTGATGTACAGAAGAACTGTCGGTGCACTACATAACACCAGAAGTGTCACAAAGCCACTCTGTGAGTCACCATAAATCTTTCTCTTGTGTGCTTGACAGCACTTGCATGTGTTCAACTACATCTAGTTCTTTGTTGAGTTCATTGCTGAGGCTTTATAATGTAACCATTTAAAGGATGTGACCCTGAGGTTATGAGGAGCCTGCATCAATTATTTGCGGAAACTATAGCAGGTCAAAAAAATTAAGTAGCACGATGGGGAGTGAACAGCAATGAGGGAAAAGACTTCGCAGTGATTTGAGATGAGAAAACCTATATTTTTGAAGTATAGCTCCTAGAATACCCTAGATATCATGGCTAATAACTATGCTCACTAGAGAATTCTGGGAATTGATGTCTAAAGACCTTACAATTTGTGTTTTCTGGTGCTGAAGAAAATATGTCATTTTTCAGCCTGAACTTCTTCCCGTGGCATCCACAACAAGCAGCCATTGTTTGCTAATATGATTAAAAATCAAGAGAGGGCACCAGAAGAAAAGCCCAGAAATGGCCATTTGGAAACTTGCTTATAAACATGCATTTCTAAACCCCATATGTGTGGCAGGCTACCCCAAGGCAATGAATAGGGCAAGGGAACATGTAATTCTCTAGATATTGTTGAATTGCCATTCCCATGAACTTTAGCCAGCAAAACCCATGGTGAGGATTGATGAGAGATGCAGTCTAAGAACATCAGGATTGACCCAAGTAGGCTAATCCTTATGTAAATGTTGCAGTTAAGTGTGGTCTAGTGTTTTGGTTCAAGCTTCTCTAGCTTGTCTTGTCTGCCAGATGTGCTAATTTATGTTCCCATATAGTGGCTGGGGATCGGGGTTGCTGTTGTCCAGCATATAGAGAGAGCCAGCATATATAGAGTTAAGGTCAACTGTTTTGATCTACTAACCAGTTAGGTGATTTGATTAAAAGGATTTTGATTTCTTGTAACAAATGCCTCTGATTAGCATTTTTAAAGATATTTTAATGTTTTAGATTAGACTGATTTTCTAAATGTTTGTCCTTGATTAGACAGCATTATACCTTTAGTTTTGTTTTCTATTTGACTGCAGTTAGGTATCTTGAGCACCATTTCATGGAAAGATCCATGTTTAGTTTCTACAATCCCAGTGGCAAGTCTATGACCATACTAGGCAGTTGTGTGTACATATACCTATTTCTTGTGGTTTGGTCCTAGGTAGGAGATAGTGGCAGACTAGGAGAAGAAAACAGCTACTGCTGCTTCTTTGTCCCTCTTTCTGTATATGTCAGAGCGGGCTTCCTGGCACATGAATATTCCAAATTTGACCCTTGATGCCTTGGAACATTTTGGGGGGCTTTCTTTTAACTTTGTTGCCTCTGTCTTTTTATGCTAACCACAGATGATCAGTCTTCTGAGAAAGGTAGGTTCTCCCCATATTCTGGAATGAGCAAGTGGTACCTTTTCTATCACATAAGTGGCTTGCCAAACAAAATTTGTCCCCTTGAGCCTGACGCAGAGTAAAGCAAATCCAGATTCTGAGACAGCTTTTGTAACAAGCCCAAATGGCACAATATGGGTATTTGTTTGCATCTTTTTTCATAATTGATTTTGCTTCCAAGATCCAGGTTTTTCAAATAACTTTTTGGTCACGTTTTGACGAGGGAAGATGAGCTCTAGATAGAGATGATGATGGGGATGTTTCTGTGCAAGCATCAATTCTGTGAGCTAAAAAAATAGAAAGAGAACAACTGGAGACTACTTCCTGCATTCCCTTGTTTCATATGATGCTTTCCAGCCTAATCTGATGAATGTTTACCCAGCTATAAGCTCTATGATATTAAGGGTGGATGCTACTCATTAATATCCAGCCTATATATCCTGTTTATTTAAATTTCTGTGTTGGAAGAAAAGTATAGGCATGTGAGTAAACTTCAGATGATCTTCCTTCCAAAATTTTACAACTACTGTTTTTAATCTCTATTTAAGTAGGGACGATGAATTTCTGGTCTGCTAAGTGTTTTGGACTGCACTTCCCACAGTCACTTCTCATTGATCATGCTGAAGTTCAAATCATCTAGAAGGCCAAAAATCTTCACTTTTGGTTTAAAGTGGTGCTATGTTATATGATAAAGGGAACATATAAGATGTGATGTAGAGCAGTGGTCCCCAACCTTGGGCCTCTGGATGTTCTTAGACTTCAAATCCCAGAAGCCTTCACCACCACATCTGCTGGTCAGGATTTCTGGGAGTTGAAGTCCAAGAACATCTGGAGGCCCAAGGTTGGGGACCACTGATGTAGAGGGATAGGTAAATTGGTACCTTTAAGATGCCAGACACCAGATACAAAGTCCCTTATTTCCTGATTGGCTGAGGCTTATGTGAGTGAGTGAGTGAGTGAGTGAGTGAGTGAGTGAGTGAGTGAGTGAGTGAGTGAGTGAGTGAGTGAGTGAGCGAGTGAGCGAGTGAGCGAGTGAGTGAGTGAGCAAGCAATGGTGAAGGCCTCTGGGAGTTTTAGTCCAAGAACATCTGGGGACCTAAGGTTCTAAAGAGAGGCAAGCAGCTGTCACACTCCAGATTTCTTGGCCTTTTGCTCCCAATAGCTGTGCTGGCTACGGCCAAAGGGAGTTGTAAGCAAAGAACCTTATGGAGTTGCCCTCTCCTTCTAGAACACATTGAAGGTGGAGAGAGAGGCTGGCTCAGAAGTAATTTCAGGAGCTGAGGTCTTGTGGCAACGCTGCAAATGCTGATCTAACAGCACTTCACCCTGTCTATACAGGATTGGCTCTTGGGAATGATGTGGCTGTCATGCCAAATGAGTTGGTTGATTTGCTTCTAAATCTAATTTCCTTCCTTTTCCTAGTCCAGCTCAAGTCTGGGTTTATTTGTGTTTCTGCCTTAATTCACTCGTAGTTCCTTAGCTTGAGCTGGGTTTCTTCTTTCTACCGCACATTCAACCACTTTATAGGCTGTGTCCTATGATGGGAGTTGGTAGAGGAACCTCTGACATTTCTCCCTTTTGCCATCTGGGGACTCTTGTGTCAATCTTATTTAATTTTTCCTAGCTATTTATTTGTCCTGTGTTTTTTACCATGTAATTTTTTGTACTAATCACATGGATTAAATGCCCGCTGTTTCTTAAAAGCAATTGTGATGCTCCTTGGAGCTTTGCTTAACACAGCAGGTAATTTCCTGTTGAACCATGGATGTACTGCTTTTTCCCCCCTTCCCCTCTCTGATTTTAGCCTGCTCCTTCTAAAAAGGAATGCCTCCTGTAGATGCTGAGCCTACAAGGCAGAACATGTTCTCTTTTTAAAATATAATAACTATACAACTATACTGGATTCCCAGTATGATGCAGTGGATATTGTGACAGACTAGGACTCTGGAGTTCAGGGTTCAAATCCCCACTTGGCCATGGAGACTTACTGGGGGAGTGGAACTAGTAAAATGACTTCTTAAATATCTCACTTACTTTGAAAGCCCTATTAGGGTCATTGTAATTTTGGTTTCAACTTGACAACACAGAACACACATACACAAAACGACTATGGGGAAAGGAAATGGTTTTGAATCTGTCAGTAAACATGGCAGTTTCACAGTTTATTTCAGCGGCCTTTGTTCTCATTGCTGCATATTTTGTTAATGTGAGAGCCAGAGTGGTTACAGCAGCTTTCCCTAAGCATTTGTTCCTCTAGAGCAGTGGTCTCCAACCTTGGGCCTCCAGATGTTCTTGGACTTCAACTCCCAGAAATCCTGGCCAGCAGAGGTGGTGGTGAAGGCTTCTGGGAGTTGAAGTCCAAGAACATCTGGAGGCCCAAGGTTGGGGACCACTGCTCTAGAGGTCTTGGAGTATAGCTCCATAATCACTTACCACTGAGCCATGTTGACTGGGACTTCTGAGAAGTGGAGTCTGAAACAGCAGGAACACAAAAAGCTCCTTCTCTCTGCCCAATTTGGTGCTTTCTAGTTATGTTGGATTGTGACACCAATTGTCCCTATTCCCCAGTTGGGTACAGATGTACAGATGGGCAACATGTGGACTGTGAGCTACATCTGGCTTCCTAAGGTTGTTTTTCTGGCTGCCAGAAATCTACCACCACTCCCACCCAAGACTGTGCTGCCAGAATTCAAAGATAAATTGTACAGCTGAATTTCAGCAGCATCCCAGGCTGGGGGAAACATGTTTAAAGTGTGTGTTTTGCTTGTTTTAAATGACTTATAGTAGTTTCCAGCTGCTGAGTTTCAGAAACAAGTAGGGAATGCTCACTGAGAGTAAGGAAAAATCTTGTTTTAAAAAAAATTACACAAGGTTGCCACTGAATGTTATTACCAATCAGGAAAACTTAAATTGTTTAAATGGTTCTTTAGGTGGTGGCAGTGAGGTCATGTGCAGCTTGCAGTGACCTACCAGGGGAACAAAATTGGTGTCTCGATCTATTAGAATTGCATAACCCTGGACTAGAGGTAGGAAGATCTAGTTTGAAATCATCACCTAAAAAGATGATGGATGTTGCATATTGCACTAGAAGAAAAGCAAACAGAATTAACAATGGCAATATTTGAAAACAACAACACAGTGAGGAAGTATTTAAGCATTCTTGGCATTCTGTTACCAGTCTTAATGGCCTCAAGGTAGCCATTCGTGAGCAAAGACACTTGAAAGGAATCTTTGAGCCAGGAAACCTCAAAGGAAGGTTGGAATGAGAAACTGTTGAGTTGCTGTTCCTCACCAAGATCAGTTCTATTCCCTGTGGCTTGAATCAATATAGAAGTTTTTTTTAAAAAAAAAATCCTGCTTCTGTGCATTAATTAACTCGCATACCATCAGGATCTCTGTGTTATCAGCAGTTCCAATAATGTCACTGTTACAGCTTATCCTCTCTATCACCTTGCTGTTTAATGTCTACTGCCCTCCCTCTTCCTCCCCTAGCTCAGGATATCACTTCATTTATCTGAAAAAGTGGGTTCTAATCTATGAGCATGTACTGTATGCCATAATGCACGTGCCCATTTTTAAAGTATGATGGAGATATTTGTTGTTGCTTTAGCTGTTGTACCACCCAGTATCTCTGCCCTATCCCAAGAACCCCAACATACTCCCCTGAAAGTTTCAAAAGTTATATGGAAAAAAAAACTGAGGGCTCAAGAGTTTCCCTTGTTCCTTCCAGGCTTTGGGAGGCAAGTACTGTATGCCATAATGCACGTGCCCATTTTTAAAGTATGATGGAGATATTTGTTGTTGCTTTAGCTGTTGTACCACCCAGTATCTCTGCCCTATCCCAAGAACCCCAACATACTCCCCTGAAAGTTTCAAAAGTTATATGGAAAAAAAAACTGAGGGCTCAAGAGTTTCCCTTGTTCCTTCCAGGCTTTGGGAGGCAATTGTGCTGTTGTTGTACCACCCAGTATCTCTGCCCTATCTCAAAAACCCCAACACACTCCCCTGAAAGTTTCAGAAGTTTAATGGGGGGAAAAAACCCTGAGGGCTCAAGTGTTTCCCTTCCAGGATTTGGGAGTCTTGTGCTGTATTTTGGGGGCCCACAAGTACCCCCACCCTCTACCGCTGTTTCCCTAAAATATGAAAAAGTTGTCCATTAGAAGGTGCAAGAGGGTTTTCCAATTTAAAAAAATCTATAAGAAAAAGATAGGGATTGGGGTGTCACAGATATGGCCATCCAACATTCACGGAGAAGCATGTGCTAGAAATGGGCCTGAACTACCAAATTGATGGTTCATGCTGGTTTGTTTCTTGGCTGAACGGGTGTTTGGTGGTTCTCAGCTCTGCCTCCTCTAGTGGGCAATCATTCAGAGGAGGAGGAGGAAGAGGAGGAGAAGATGGGGCTGCGAAGTGCCAAATTCCTGTTTGATCGAGAAACAAACCAGCACAAAGCATTGGTTCGTGCCCATCGTTTAGTGTGTGCAGCATCTAGAGTAGGACTTCTGCATGCAGTGTATATTGAGAAACAAACCAGCACAAAGCATTGGTTCATGGCCATCGTTTAGTGTGTACAGCATCTAGCCTTCTGAAGATTGCCCATCCCTGCCTTAGTCCCTAGAGTAGGACTTCTGCATGCAGGGTGCATATGATCTACCACTAACCTGAAGCCCCTCCTAACCTCTTTCACATACTCACATGTAACAACAGTACCTCCTTTTGGCTCTTCTGTTATAGTCCCCTATTTTCCTACCAAAGCACCAAAGATGCAACATGAGACTCTTTCTCTGCTGAAACAGGTACAGTATTCTTTCGGTTTTGTTGATATTTTTCTTCCCCTTCTTTCTGTTATTTCCAAACAGAGGACTGTGATTGTGAGGGATACTTCAACGGACAGTATATAGGTGAGAAACTGTTGGGCTTGAATCCAAACTGGCTCATATAATGCAAATATATATACTTGTATATCACTTTGGGCATTTTAGGGGATTTGGTTGAAAAATGTTGCAAATACAAATGGAGGAGTGGGATTTAATTTGTTAGAATGCAAGAGTCACTGAGAGTGTATGTAAGAACATTAGAGCTGTCAAGCTAAATCCAATGTTACGTACAACAACTTTTTGCTTGTGTAACAGGAATTTCTCTTTCCTTCAACTCCTGCTCAGCCCTTATAGGTTTCTCAACTGCTTTCTGGAGCAGATTTAGGGCGCTCAGATGAGATTGCAAAGTTAGAATTTGAACTAGTTCCTGCTAGTTCTACTAATCTGCTATTCGATTATCTCTTTACTTTGTCATTCTTCGCCAGAAGTGTTGTTTTAAATTTCCAGTGTATTGTATTTGTTTATTTTATTTTATTTTAACTGTTTGTATATTTTAAGCGATATTGAGGTCACGAAGAGTCGGACACGACTAAATGACTAAACAGCAACAAACAATATTTTAAGTACTGCGTGACATTTTGTGTCCTTTCCAGAAAAAGGCATTCAACAAATGATGTTGATGTTGATGATGATAACAACAGGGATGGTGCTCATGATGATGATTATGGGTTTTTGTTTCCCTTTGTTTTGTTTTCTTGGTGTTGTAGCTGGCTTGAGGCGGAGTTTCCGGCTCAGCCGGAAGGAAAAACAGAATGGCCAGAATGAAGTAAAGCAAGTTGAGCAAACCCAGCCCTTAGAACTCCTCACATATGAGGAAGTCACCAAATACGAGCAGCCGCCAGGAGACAGAAAAAGGCTGGTGGTTTTAATTGGTGAGTTGGTTTGTAGAAAAAGAATACAAGAACTTACAAGCTGGAGCTTAAGGTCCAATTTCCCCAACGTTTTGCTGCAGTAAAAGAGCTTCTGGATGATTTTAACAAGACATGAGTTGCCATAGGAACAGGAGGTGAATTTACTTCACCCTGAGGGTCAAATCCAATTTCAGACCAGTTCTTGGGGACAAATTCCAGTGGTAGACGGTATATATTTTTTGTTTAAAGCTCTGGCTGTCAGGAACTAAGAACTATTGGGACAGACTATTTGCTCCATTACAAGAAATAGAAGCCACATTATGGTTTCCTTATTTCTCTTGCCATGCATGCATCTACTGAGCACTTTGCTCTTTGTCTTTCCCTATTTTTGTTACTCCTGAAGGCACAGTTTATTTTGTTCTGGGGAAGAAGTTTAGTACTGTGACGCTTGTTACACAGTTCTGTTTCCACATCAGAGCCTCCCAGTTGGACGCTTGTAGGTAGCATCATTACATATTTTTGGGAAAATATCTGCAGAAGAGAAGCTCCAGCAGGGAAGTGGATTTCTAACAAGGATTTCAAAGAGCTCTCACAAAGAAGTACTTCTAGAAATGTTGCTTTTAAAAGTTCAGTTTGGACTTGACTTCCAGTAAGACGTGGTCTCCTTTGCTTTCCTGCTATCCAACCACAGCCAATATTTCTAACAAGGATTTCAAAGAGCTCTCAAAGAGAAGTACTTCTTGAAATGTTGTTTTTAAAAGTTCAGTTTGGACTTGATTTCCAGTAAGCCATGGTCTCCTTTGGGTGAAACTTTTGCCCTCTCTGGAAGAGCCCTAACTCTTAGGAGATACATTTCTACCTTTCAGAATGGGTGTGTGTGTGGGGGGTTATTGGTAAAAAAAATCTGGGAAGCTACCAAATGATAGTGGAGAAGGAGATGGTGCCCATTTGGGTAAGCCCATATAACCATTTTGGAACCTCAGGAGAATGGGATTTGTAGCCCTAGGTTCCCCACAGCTTTATAGAAGATGCCTGAGAGAAATCCACTATGTGGTGAGACGGCTCCATAGGCCAAGAACTCTTACATCTCTAGATGTTTTGAATTATAGATGTCACGATCATTTACCATTGGCCATGCTGAAAGAGGCTTCTGGAGGTTGGCTGAAAACATCTTGAGAGCCAAAGGTCATAGAATCACAGAATAATGGAGTTGGAAGGCCATCCAATCCAATCCCCTGCTCAATGCAATAATCCAGATCAAAGCAGATCTCGCAAAGAGTTGTCCAGTTTTTTCTTGAATGCCCCTAGCATTGAAGCACTCACCACCTTCTGAGGTAATTGGTTCCATTGTTGTACTGCTCTAACAGCTCTGTTCAACCTAAATCTGGATTCTTGTAGCTCCTTGTTGTAGCTCCTTTCTCCCTCTTTCCTGTACTATGACCTCAATCAGGGACCCTGTGCTTGCTGTTTGTATTGTGCACAGGGGACTTTCCTGGTAGGTAAAATTGGGGCTTTCTTCTCCTTATGCAAATATAAATAGCAAAGGGATTATTACACTCCACCCCCATCCATGCACAATGGACCAACATGGCATCTTTTCAAGTTTGCTCCTTAGAGTAAAACAAGGAGAATCACAAATGCATACCTATTTTGCAATTTGTGTTCCTTTTCTTTCTCCCTTTTTAAATGGTTTCTTCTGCAGAACACCTGTATGCCTTATGTTCTGTCCACTGATGTTCTTTCTCCGACCTCTCAGGTTCCTTGGGGTCCCGGCTAAATGAACTCAAGCAGAAGGTGGTAGCTGAAAACCCACAGGAGTACGGAGTTGCTGTGCCACGTGAGCACCATTTTAATGAAACCTGTTTCTCCCTGTCCACCCACCCATCACCTCCCTCTAAAACCTCCATAACATTTTTCTTATGTGTTTGCTTGTCTTATGTATGTCCAGTCAGCTGTTAATATTGTTTTCTGATTGGCTTAAAGCATAAAATGATAAAATAGAACTCAGTAGTATTAAAAACCAACAACCTAAATTGGAGTGCAGTAGTTTCCAGGAAAGAGAAGAAGAAAAGCTAATAACTTACAAAGATACACTAAGCTGGACCAGGTTGAGGTGCTCCACAATTGAACCAATAGATGAACATACCACAGTGCCAACTCTCCTGTTAGACAAAGCAAGGCAACCATTTCAAATGGCGGGTGTTTGGGGGGGGGCAGCATCAGCAGGCCCTGCATATTCCTCCTGAACCTCTTAGTCATTCTCCTCTGTTGGATGACCTTTTGGGTGCACCCTGTAGTAAACTCTTATTCCCTAAATTGACCTGCTGTCCTCACCATGTGGTGGTGAAGGCTGTTGTCCTGTCACCAGCAATGAAATAAAAGTTGGCTGAGAGTCACTAAATTTCTGTATAGGGCAGAGGTGGGCAATTAATCTCTGGGGGGGGACATTAAAAATCTGAACTGTGTTTGGGTGCTGAACCAATTTTACTTAAAAAAAACATGAACCATGATTGTTTTTATTTTAAACTTGTTAATATTCACAAATGCTAAAGAGGTTTTTTTGTGGTATGTTAAAGATAAACAACTGATCAACTTTAGATAAAAAGCTATAAATGGTTTTGATGTTCAGAACTGTCTACGGGCTGGCCAGGAATGGCTCGTGGGCTGTATGTGGCCCTCAGGTCTGGTATAGGGTATTGGGAAGGGCAGCTTGACATCTTGAGCAGGCCCTGTTTCTTTTCTGCCCCTTGTTCCTTGAAATAACCCTCCCAGGCCTCTGAAAGCCCTACAGCAGTGGTCTCCAACCTTGGGCCTCCAGATGTTCTTGGACTTCAGCTCCCAGAAATCCTGGCCAGCAGAGGTGGTGGTCAAGGCTTCTGGGAGTTGTAGTCCAAGAACATCTGGAGGCCCAAGGTTGGGGACCACTGCCCTACAGAACACCAGGGATTTCTACTGAATGGGGTAGATTAGGGTGTGAAAGAGCTCTCCCCAGCCCTCTGAACTGGACAGAGGCAAGTTTCATGGGTGGAGCTCACTGCTTTTGCTACTTTTCCTGCTATACTTTTCTTCCTGAGCTCCCAAGCTGAGATTTGGCTCTGGAAAAAGTTTGAGACCTATGCCCAATTAAACTTTGGGGTTTTTTTTTGTGGGGGGGAATGTATGAAACCAGAGAAATATTTCAGTGGAAAATAATTTCCTAGAGTTTGAAAAAGTTCCTTTTGTGAGCTGTACCTTCTAAAATCCCCACACAAAAAGGTGTGGTTGAAAATGTACCTTTCCCAAACTCCGGCTGTTGCTGAAAGAATTCAGACAGCTATGTAGGGAGATGGAGGAGAGATATTAATCTGTAAAAGCAGCAAGATCTGGGAGAGAGGAGAAATCAAATGGAAAATGCTCAGGTGCAAAAATGAATTGCTTGCTGGATCTCTTCATTCACACACAACTTGCCACGCTGGCTGTGGAGTGAATGTATGAAACTGTATTTAGATGATGGATGAGTTAACAAGGTAGCCATCCATGGCATGCGGCAGCAAGAATGATCATGAACCTCAAAGAAACTGCTGTGTCTGTAGGACGCAGGGGCTGATATAGCCTGATCCCCTGCCCATTTCAGACTTCCTTTTTCTGATGATTTGGGAGCTGTGCAGGTGGGTCCTCTTCTCCATTGGGATCACAAATGCCATTTCTGTCTCGAAGGGTCATAGGTGCACCTGAGCTACTTGCGTCAGATGTGCATGCCTTTGCATACCAAGGGAGAACTTCTGCCCTGTGGGAATCTATTCTGCCTATTTGTTATTATTTTTGCCATCAGTGTTTGCCTTGTCCCATGGGCATTTTAAACAGAGTGCAGTGGGCATGGAAGTGGCAGTTCTGCAGCCAAGTGGCTGTCATCATGTGCCTTGCTGCTTCCTTTGGGATCGTAAGTATTGAAAACAATCATTTTTTAAATATGCAATCAATCAATCGTTTAGGTGTTTGACTGCAGAGCTAAAGGTTGGGAGTTTGATTCCCCACTAGAAAGAAGAGCCAGCCTGTGTGGCCTTGGGCAAGTTGCCCAGTTCCACGATGCCCTCAGAAGAAGCGAATGGTAAACTACTTTTAGTATTGGTTGTTGTGGGTTTTCCGGGCTCTTTGGCCTGGCTGTGAAAGCCTTTGTGAATACATGGAATGCCTCTACTTTTAGTATTCTCTATCTGGAAATTCCTGAAAAAAGACTCACCATAAGTCAGCATTGACTTGACAGCACACTGTTGTTATTATTAGTGTGTGCAGGGCAAAATAGATCTGAGTGACTCAGGCCAGTGAGCCAAGCCAGTAGTAGTAGTGAGTTGCAGAACTGTACATAATGTGCCAAGTGGAGAATTTCTTCCTGGTCCTCACTGACAACACCCAAGTCCACAAGCCTCTTTCAACAGGTGTAATGAACAAAATTTCTGGTGTGTTGCAAAGCAAGTTGGGAGAGGGAAGGGAGGAAATGGACTGCACATTCACATGTTGTTAGATGTAGGGTATGCTTTTTGAAACTTCCAAGACAAAAGCTGCATCCTTTCTCTATCAATTCAGGATCAGGTCCTGGGATGGGAAAATCAGTCCCTTTCCTCATATATATGAATTAGACAAAGTTTACATTTATAACCTTTTCCTGCTCAAATATGAACAAATTTGCAAATGTAAGTACATTCTTCCAAGGTGAACTAAAATAACATTCCTCTTTGGACCGGCCATTCATTAGGTAAAGTTTCAGGCTGTTAGTTTGTCTGTCCCCAGTTGTGTTTTTCTGTCATTCATTGTAGGCGCTTTCCAACCTGCATATGATGAAATTTGCATCATTTTGTATATGTTTATCAGAACATCTTCACCCAACCTGATTTGGCTTGGGGGTTTCAATACCATGGACAGCCTCCAAGGATCTCATTAGCCAACCCAATCAAAGCCAGCAAGGAAACATGGATGTTCTACTAGTAAATTATAATATCTTTAGAACTTTGGAGAGGGGTTTTTTTTTGTTTTTTTTTGGAAGGGGTGTACATTTCCTACAAGCCTCTACCAACATGGCATTGAGGGATTTTTTTTTTTTTTTTGGAAGGGGTGTACATTTTCTACAAGCCTCTACCAACAAGGCATTGAGGGATTCTGGATGTTATAGCCCCCGCCAAAAAAGATCAGATTTTCAAACCCGGTATCCTGACCAAACCTCCCTCCCCCCCCATAGGCATTTTGCAGTATTAAAATCCAAACGCTTACAATAATATATAACAAAAAGAAAAGCTCCCTCTTGAAAAATAAATTATAGAGGCAGGCATTTGACTAGAGGCCAGTATTTAAAAACTGCCCAATCCCATCAGATGTTTGAGGTTATTGGTTGTCTTTTCTTTTTAACCTTAAAATAGTCCCTGTTTTGCAAACTTTGGGGTTTCTCAAACCTGCTGATTCCTCTCTTATTGGGCATGGATAGTGGCATGTGAGTTACGTTGGAACTGGCACTCCAGCAATGTGGTAACACTATTAACATCTGTGTGTTAAGAAAATCAAGACCCTGGTGGTTTTAAAAAGGTTTGCTTCTATTCATATGCAATGTCTGAAGAGTTTCAGTGGTGCTGAGAGTCAACACAAGCCCATCCTTAACTCTGTATCCTCTGGGCAGAGTTCAAATGGACAAATCAGAAGCCTATGATTTCTTGCTTTGGAAACAGCTATTCTGATCTCTTCCTCTTTCTCTTCCTCCTGCTCTCCCACTCTATCCCCACCTCCCCCCTGTGCCTGCTTTGAAAACATATTTCTGGAAAGTTCACCTTCATTGTTGTTTCATAAGCAATGTTCTTGTCGGTTAGGTGAACTGTCCCAAAATTGCAGCTGAATTTGCAAAATGAAAGGAATACAGTTGACTCCCCTTTGCACTTCATTTGCAAGTTAATTAAGATACCTAGAGCTGAGCAACAGCAACAAAGCTTTGAAACCTGTTGAGGGAAGCATCTTAAATAGGTTCCCTCCCCTTCCCATTTTCCACACATTTAGATTTGAGTTCTAAATTCATGCCAGATTTAAGAGGATGAAGCCTTGATGTTGTACAAAGGGAGCAAGCATGAAGTTTTAGCAGGGGGTGGAGAACTTCAGATGTTGTTGGACTCCATCTCCCATCCACCTCAACCAATATGGTCAGTGGTCAAGTAGATGTTGTGAAGTTGTGGTCCAGTGACATCTGAAAGGCTACTCTTTCCTTACTCCTGAGTTAGGACTTTGTAACAGAACCATTTATACTTTTGGATCAGATCAAGGTTCATTCACTGTAGGGATGGGCAAAATAGGGACTGCAAGGGGGTGACATTCAAACCTCAAAGAGGATTTTGTGGACTCCATTGTGTTGTGCTTCTGCAGACTGTGAGATATGTTGCCACACCTTCCCACAAATGTAATTTCTTCTTTTTTCTATCTTTCTTGCTTGCTTTAGCATATTTCTGCACCACAGACAGCTGCAGCAGTTGTTGCTGAATTTAAAAGCAACTTTGGCACCAAGTCTGGTAGTGGCAAACTTGGTATGGTCCTGAGGGTTTCAGGGGGAAGGGTCTGATGTGCCCCCTAAAAACACCAGGATTTGGCCCAGTTGCTGATGCTGCTCTTTTCAACATTCCTCTTTCATTCTTCTTTGGAAGAATGTTTTCTAGCTGGGGAGCAGTTGGCCAAGGAAGTCCAAGAGCTCAATTTATTATTGTTTTAACATGTACTATCCTTTTATATAGTGGAATTGTGCCTTCCCCAAGCTAAATATTTTAACATTAAGGCAGCAGATGCAAACTCTGTTTTATTCTGCAGTTATGAGTACCTCGTGTTTTGAATTTATGCACATACTTCATATGCTTAGAGTGTGGGTTTTCTTACCTCAAGATTAGCACACAGGTTTGTGTTTGTTTGTTTGATCTAACATATCAGGAATGTAGAATAGCAAGAGATAGGTTCAGGAAGAGAATAGTTAGTTGTGTGTGTTGAGAAATAATATACACATGCCATCCAAATGGAATGCACATGAATGCTAAGTTCAAGTTAGTTGCATGCATCACAATGGAAATAATATACATATGCCATCCAGACAGAGTGCATATGAATGCTAAGTTCAGGATACAAAATTATTTTAGTTACACCACAGTTTGGAACAGGTTTGAGCAAAGTGCATCCTTCCACCGGTTGTTCTTCTGTAACTCCCATTATTTCTCACAATTGAGTTTGTGACCTTCCAGATGTTGTTGTACTGCAACTCTCATCCTTACCATAGGCTTTGCTAGCTACTGCTGAAGACAGTTGGGAGTCTAGCAATATCTGGAAAGCCATGCATTTTTCTGCAAGGTATGCCATATGTAAACATAGGGCTTTGTAGACCCATAATTCTGTAAACTTGTCTCATTGTATTTAAAGCTAGATTAGCTGCTAACCAACATACAGGAAGTTCCAGACATAACTCACTGGTTCATAGGGTCTCTTCTAGCTCTGCAGTTCCAAGATTATTATTAACAGATGACGATTTCTGAGTTCATTGGGCTTCAATCCAGGGAAGTGTGCTTCATTGGAAAAAGGTGCTGTCTCCAACAGAGGAAGCTTTTCTAGATCTAATCTTCTGGCTTGGATCATAACCTTTATTTCTGCACTATCTTATCTCCACAGTTCCCTTGAAAATCTAGAACATTCTTGAGTCCCCAGATGTTCTTAGACTATAACCCCCAGAAACCTTCACCACTACAGTAGCTGTGATGGCCAGGATTTCTGGGAGTTGCAGTCCAAGAACATCTGGGGACTCAAGGTTGGGAACCACTGTCCTAGAAGCAGGGAATCCCTTAAGCAACATGTGGGATATGCTACAGGAGAAGTGTGGGTGAGGAGGAGGTCAGGAGTTGGTGGCTGTTTCCTCCTGTTTATATGAACAGAGGAGTAGCTTAGGATACAAGGCACTGTTTGGGATAATTTTCTTTTTTTGGACAGTAAGTTCCAGAATCCTGAGACCAGCATAATCACTGGCCATTTGTGTTGGGGGCTTCTGGAAACTATAATCTAAAAATATTTCCAAATCATGATTCCACTATCTTCTATTTTGCCCAAGCTAACCATAAATTCGATTGTGATGGAAAAAGACTGACATTCCTATTACTCTCCATGTTCACAATGTTTCTGTTTTCTGTTTCATGTCCATATATCAGTGGTTATTTCATACCAGAAGGAGGAATTTTCAGTATTGGATTGCTTTTGGTACAGGTTCCTTCTCTCATATTTATAATCTAAATCTTTATGCTTTCTGTGAGTAAATTCTATTGTTATGTGGCATCCAGTCACTTCCAACACATGGTAACCATATGAATTAGAAAACTTTTAAAAGTCCTATCATCCACAACCTTGCTTAGCTTTTACAAACTCAAGCCCACATCTTACTTTACTGAGTCAATCCACCTCATATTTGGTATTCCTCTTGTTGCCTTCAACTTTTCTCAACATTATTGTCTTTTCCAGAATCTTGTCTTCTCACAAAATGCCCAAAGTATGATAGCCACAGTTTAGCCATTTTTGGTCTGAGGGAGAGTTCAGACTTTGATCTAGAACCCAATTCTAAATTTTACTATGAGATAATTTTCCGTAGGTTTCCCTCCATTATTTTCCTTTCCAACCTCTTGCCGTCTATATAATGGTTCCAAATGGCTTCAAACTCTCTTCAAATGTTCTAAGCTTTCTGTCTGTTCTATATATAATACAGTTAGTTAATTTGTGTCCAGGTTAGGACTTCATTTAATCTTAAAATCAGTAATTACTTATTTTTAAAGTAATCCTTCTGTTTAATTAATTGCTCATGCAGTCTCCGGGCCTGGGGAGTGGTTTAATCCTCCTTCCAAATCATTGATGTTTATTTTATAGTTCAACTAAGTATGCTAATCCAATCATTAAAATTAAATTCTCTATAATAGTGGCTATTATAATGGCTTTAAATAATCTTTAAGCTTCTTTGACCCTTCTAAACATCTCCTTCAATTTTTCCTGTAACTTTTCTCCTTCTGTAAAGTTTCCCCTTTTGAAAGTAATTATAGCCTTGATAAATATCTAGAGCAATTTATATACAGCTTTGGATTCTCTCTGCTGGCAGTTTAACACTGTAAAACCCCCCGCATGAAATGAAAACCCAACCACAGACTTTTTTTGGGTCGGGTAAGCATTTCTTGCAGAGAGGCTTGATTCTCCATGAATATTGTTGTTGATGATGATTATGAGTTATTATGTGCTTTGTTTTTAATTTGTTCAAAGATTTTGCACATGTATACCCAGAAGCTACTGTGCTGTAGAAACCACACTTGCCATATAGTTGACATACATATAGGGCAGGTGCAAGATATTTTGCTGCCTGAGGGGGAAAAAAAGATGGTGTGCTGGCCCAAACACCCACACAAGCATATTGGACTAATAGATTAATCTTATTTAACATGCCAGATGTGACAGCAGGCTTCAACTCACCTGAGAGCAACAGGCTAGCTCAGTGCTTCTTAACCTTTGTTACTCGGATGTTTTTGAACTGCAACTCCGAGAAACCCCAGCCAGTACAGTTGGTGGTGAAGGCTTCTGGGAGTTGCAGTCCAAAACTCCTGAGTAACCCAAGGTTAAGAATCAGTGGGCTAGCTTATGGCAGTCTATGCGTGATACACAGCGCTGTCTTCCAACAGAAGGCAATGGCCATGGGGTTCTTCCCTCCATATTATTTATCATCTGGTTCCTGGGGCAATACTTCACTGTGTTTCATAGTGAGATTGGCCCCGACTATTATAATGTGTGTCCCTTGAAGGACCAAGGGCCTAACGAGTAAGTTTTGCCAAGTTGAAACAGAAGGACCTATTCAGAGAGCACTGATTAGCAGGGACCCTGAACTGCATGGAGAACAAACTTATCCATTCTAAAGGAAATCAACTCTTGAGTGCTCACTGGAAGGACAGATCCTGAAGCTGAGGCTCCAATACTTTGGCCATCTCAGGAGAAGAGAAGACTCCCTGGAAAAGACCCTGATGTTGGGAAAGTGTGAAGGCAAGAGGAGAAGGGGACAACAGAGGATGAGATAGTTGGACAGTGTCATCAAAGCTACCAACATGAATTTGACCCAACTCCAGGAGGCAGTGGAAGACAGGAGCGCCTTGCGTGCTCTGGTCCATGGGGTCACGAAGAGTCGGACATGACTAAACACACAACTGTCTGTTTTCCTGAGCCAAGAGTCGGACACGACTAAACGACAACAACTGTGACATCACAACATGTCATGTGTGTTTTCCTGAGCTGTTTTTCAGCTTGAAAACATAAAATTCTGCTAGGAAGGCTGCTGTTCAAGCCCATCCCTTTCTTTCAGCTTCACTGTAGCTGCCCTAACGGCTCATTCCTTTGCCATCCAAAACCAATGGGGACTTTGAACAGGGTCAACCTTCTTCAGCTAGGTGCCCACTAGAGATTTGGGACTACAGTTCCCATCACTGGCCATGTGGCCATATAGATGTGCTCTAATCTTGGCTTCCTTTCCTTTCCAGATACCACAAGATCCAGGAAGAGTCATGAGAAGGAGGGTGTGGAGTACAACTTTGTTTCGAAGCAGTCATTTGAAAGCGATATACAGCATAACAAGTAGGCATTGCTTTGTTGTGCTGATGGAAACGGAAGGCACGTCTCAGGGCCAGGCTTGCATCACAGACGCTCTTTGATGTCAGTAGCGCTGCCCTATTTGCTATGCTGATGGAAGCTTCTTTAATAAACTGAGGAGAAAAAGTGAGGGGAAATTGGGTCTTCTTACATTCCTTGGCCCAAATAATTTTTGGCAGCTATCAGCCAGTTACTTGCTAGCTGACATTGCACTGACTAGATATAATCCACAATAAAGTCCAGCAGAGTTACACATGTTATTAACACCTGTCATGATCTACAGGCACATTCCTTCCTGGTCTCAGTGAATGTGTTCCTTTTTTCCACCTCACAACTGGTTCGGGGAGTCATATGTTTAAAACAGTTTCTGCATGAATAATCAATCCTTATTAGAACACAGGGAATATTAAAATGTTTCTTCCCCACTGCGAGTGCCACCATCTGCATCCATGGTGTGGCAGTGGGGAAGCCCTCTTTGCTGCTGGAAATAGATTTTATTAATGTAGGGGAGCAAAGTACAGAGGACCCTCGACTGATGGCTCCACTTACAGACTTTTTGAGTTACAGACTTCTCTGGCCGCAAAATTTAGGTTCGACTTGCAGCCGGAGAATCGACCTACAGACCGGGGAAAAAAAGTCAAAATGGAACAAAAACAAGAGAATCGACCTACAGACTGGAAAAAAAAAATCAAAATGGAACAAAAAGAGCCGGTTACAGATTAATCGGTTTTCAATGCATTGTAGGTCAATGGAGCCTCGACCTACAGACATTTCGACCTGCAGCCACTGTTCCAATATGGATTAATTCCATAAGTCGAGGGTCCACTGCACAAGAAAAGGTTGGGTGCTGCACCACGTCCCACAAGAGGGCTGAGTTAGCTTCACTAGCTCCCTGCTGAGTTTGATCTTTACCTGAAGCCAAGCTCTACTAACTGAGTTTGAGCTATCCACAATCCATAGTTGGTACAGAGTCTTCCAAACAGCCCCGAACCAACTAATTCCCTTCAGGGAGGGCTTGTATTCCTGTGCTTATTGGCATGCAGGCCCCTCAAGTCCCTCCTGCTGGTGCCTCCCCCATTCATTTTGGTGCTTCCTCCTCCAGTACATTTGGGTAGGGGCTGGGTGCCCTGCTGGTCAGCATGGTCCTCAAAGGGTTGGTGAGAGGGCCAGAGTAAATGACAGGCTGAAGATTGGCACACCATGGCCACACGCTTGTCCATTCCCATTTGGACCTCAACCTATTTCCAGGGATTCTGAATACTTAACATGCCCTCCCTCTCCAGGAGGCAAAACACTGAGTCCAGTTCTTCCTCCAGCTCTCCCCACTCTTGCAGATCCTGTAGGACATGAATCTTCCCCCTCCTCCCCCTCTTCCTTTATACCAGACTCCCCTCTTTGCCTAGGGCATGGCACCCACCTCCTTGCCCAAATGCAGCTCATCCACCACCGGCTCCTCTCTCCCATTTTGAGTCTCCGTTTCCCTTTCTGTGCCCTCCTGGCCCCCCAGTGCTGGAATCTCCATTGGGCTCACCAGGGGGCATAGGACTAGGGTAGATGGTCTGTTTAGGGGTGCCTGGAGCATCTCGCTCACACCCACCCGTTCCCCCCAGGTAGATGGTCTGTTTAGGGGTGCCTGGAGTATCTCGCTCACACCCACCCATTCTCCCCACCACTCATGGGCTTTTGTGTTCAATGTACGTGACTGTTGCTGTGAGCAATTTGCCACCTCAAAAATAAGCAATATGTAAGAGTTGTCATCTTTGTGTGAAGTTGGATTGTTTTCTCTGCCTAAATGGGATTTAGATGTCTAACCCTTGATACTCTTGACAGCAGTGGAATGTGCAAAAGCAGTTTTGTTGATCTGTTATTGGCTGTAGGAAACAGTAGCTGAGCAGATTCCTAACTGCCAAGATGACTGAGGAGTAGCTAAGCTGCCACTAGGCACCTAAGTCCAGTGTTTCCCCAACCTGGAGATACTGGACATTACTTTAAATTATCCTCAAACAGGCCTAATCTGGCATCAGAATGGTGGCAGTGCCCCAGGTCTGGATGAAGTTTGGATCTGGCATACCTTGGCTCCTCCATTGTTCTGCTGCTTTTGTCCCTCTTTTGGCTGTTCTGGTGGCAGATCTTGGTGGGTACAGCTGTTCAAATCTGACAGCACAATGGGTGAAGTGGCACCCTTGTAAGGAGAAGGGGCTTTTCCTCACCACCACCACCCCGAAGCACATTTCTGTTGTTATCTATTCTGAGCTAGGTGTTCTTCTGTCCTTTTCTCCTCCCACACTTAATTCCTTAAATCTTCTCAGGTTTGTAGAACATGGAGAGTATAAAGAGAATCTCTACGGGACAAGCTTGGAGGCAATACAGTCTGTCATGGCCAAAAATAAAATTTGCCTCGTTGATGTCGTGCCTGAGGTAAACTGTCAAATATTTTTGTTGCTGTGGTTTTCTTTAATCTGTCTTACAGATTTGTTCTTTGGAGACCACCCACCTACAATTTACCTTCTAAGAAAAGAAAAGGGGGGTGTAGAGGGATGTCCCTCTTTGAAAAGAACAGGGTTTTGGTGTTTTTTGCTGTGTAAATTGCAGTTGTATTGTGGCACACCTGTCCTCCTCAGATCCATATCAGAACCTCAGCAGGGTCAAAAGCAGGGTCCCATACACTATTCTTCAGGCGAAGGTCCCATACTGGAACGGGCCCAGCGAGTCAGTCCAGAGGAAGGGAGAATCACCTGACACTCAAGGACAGGATGACTCACAACCAAACTGTACACTAGAGATGGCTTGTCATTAAAAGAGTGAATTGCTTTAGAGGGGAAAACATATGATTGTCACAACAGCTGGAGCCTTTCACATTTTTTCCTGAAATTTGCAAATTAGCATGCTTTGTTTATGATTGGCCAATAGGAGGTAAGCACAGGTTGCATTTCAAGTATGATCAGTCAATCACAAAAGTCTGCCTAAATCATATTATTCATAGACTAGAAGACTTCTGCTTCCAATGATGGGCGATCCATAATGTATACTTTGGCTTTTAGTGTTCTTAACCCTTAATCTTAACCAGAGGGATTTAAGGCACTAGTACTTATTTTTTAAATGATCTGGATCTCAAATATATCTAGGAACACATTTACTCATATGTGCTTCCCCAAGCATTTCATGCTGATGGGAAATACTGGGATGTGTTGTCTTTCTGAAAGTAGGTGCTTTTTTGTTTGTTTGGTAGTGTTGCTTACAGTTTCAGACTATAACAATGACTCCTAAAATTCTTCAGGCAGCATGGCAGGTGAAAGTTCTGGAAATAGTGGGAATTGTAGTCCAGAAATACAAACCTGTATAACTAGTTGAAAAAAAATGGGAATTAAATTAGTCATGATTAACATTCCAGTGATTTGAACTGGTTGTCTGAATAAGGCTGAAAATCCAATATCACACATGTGAGGAGGCCTGGTGAATCTGGTTGTCTGAATAAGGCTGAAAATCCAACACCACACATGTGAGAAGCACACTTCTCTGCTTTCTATTCTTCAGACTGAGACTTTTCATTTAGGAGGTCCATGTAGTGAGGCTGATGAACTGTTAACTTTCTCAAATGTCACCTCTTCCCCTGCTGTTGTTGCTCATGTGACGATCTCTTAAAATTTCTCTAGCTGGTGTTCTGGTTTCAACGTTTGATTGATGAAGGAGTGCATTTTACAATGAGTGCTGCTCGGTGTAGCTGATGTTCTTGTTTTTGCACTAGATGGATTTTTTAGCTGTTTGTGTTGCTTCAGGTGCTGTTGTTTCAGAGAAACACATCTAATACATCAGAAGAATAAATCAATAGTTTATTAAAAGAGAAAAGTATCTTGTACTAGCCCTTCAGATGAATGCCTTTTGGCTCTTCTCCTTTCTCAATGTTCAATTCCTCTTGCTATGTTCTCTCTGCATCTCCTCCCCGCTTCCCAGTTTGTCCCCAGGCACCCTTTTTCCTGCCTAGAATTCCTCTTGCTATGTTCTCTCTGCATCTTCTCCCCGCTTTCCAGTTTATCCCCAAGAAGGGGACAAACAGGTCTTAGAGACCCATAACAGGTCTTAGAGATGGAAAATTGGCTCTCTGGACTTTTTTTGGTCCCCTTATTACCTTGATTTCAAATCACAAATAGAGATGGGCACAAACACAGGTGCCACACATTCCCTTCCTCTGCCTCCCCAACTGGATCCCCTACTCACCAGCCAGTACACACCCCTTTCTCTTTAGCAATGCAACCAGTCTCTGGCAGAAGCATGGGCTTCCCTGCCCCACCTCCTTGGCTGATCAACCACTTGGACAAGGAGGCAGGACAGACAAACCTGTTCATCCAGGTGGACATGTTGGCGGACTGGTTGAACAGCTGAAGAGGAGCATGCTCTGAAAGGTGAGTGGCTCACTGGCCAGAGAGGCAGGGGAAGGGAATGTTGTGCCAGCATGAACTTCCAAACCAAGGTTTGTGCCCATCTCTAATCACAGATAGTAGTGGCATCTCTCGGCTAGCACAACCCGCTGCTGGCTGCTGAGAACCCAAGCAGAAGAAAAATAGAATCCCATCATTAACTCTCAGCTGACACCATGGGGAAATGTGGTAGCACCATTCATTTGTCCTGTTAGCAGGGGCAGGCAAGTTCAGAGAGTCCAGATGCTAATTTTCCACCACCCCCTGCCAATCAGGATCTGCAGCACAACTGTAAATTAAATGCAATAAATAATAATTGGAGGCAAGGGGGGATGAAAAGTTCCTGGGGAAAACAGAAAGACTCCTCTATCCACTGCATTTGGAAGGCAAAAGTTGCAGAACCTCTTAGAGGTCAAGTGAGGCCCAAGGCACTTTCATTTTTGAAGAAGAAATACCAAAATCATGAATATTTTAAATCTGTGGCTCTGTGAATGTGAGGCCTGGGCCAAATGGCCATCCTGCCCCCACCCCTGTGAGAGGCATAGGGGTTATCACCCCAATCCCAAGGAAGCAACTGTCTTCAGGGAGGAGCAAGGCATTTCCTGGATCCTTTGTCGACCAGATTAGACCTATAGGGTGGCAGTTTCTCTCTCCTATTCTTGCCTAAATTATCTTTTAAACCAATCTGCAGACTCAGCTCTCCACCTTAATTTGCTGTTCATACATATGCGTACCCACACACCATGCAAACATGTCCTTATTTGTTCAAGGCAATGCATTCAGGAAGAAATTAGCAATGCAGTCTAAGGAACACAGCAGCAATCACTGTGACATTACATTTTTACATGCCTGTGAAAACAGGTTTTGTTACTTTCTTTTGTGCCTTGGAGCAATGTAAATACCAACTAATTACAACAAATGGGATATATTGAGATATAACTTACATGCACTTGGAAGTTCCTAATAAAGATACATGCTTCTCAATATCTCCTTTTCAGAGAGAGTTGTAATGGCTGCTTCCAACAATTTCAAGGAACAAATTGGGGGTGACTATTACAACACCACGGAGATTGGTGGATGATTTAGCCCCTTGAGAGTGGCAGTGGGGAGAGAGCTTTCAGTGGTTTTGGTGGTAGGGGTGCTGTGATCCTTTTTCTTTAAAAAAAAGAACATTTTTTAAACCATCAGCTCAAATTTGGGTGGTGTGGTGCGATGGAAATTCCATAGCTATTGCATAATTCCCTTTTTAGAGTTCCTTTGAGAAGGAAACAATACTTAAAGATCTTGCATTTTTAGATGCCAGCGGTGATGCTGGCCTGGGGATCCTGGGAGTTGTAGTCCAAAGAGTCATATTTCCAAGTTCTGGAAGGATGATGGCAGCTGAAGATTTCACAGTTCTGCTGTTGTTATCAAGCCATTAAAACCACATCCAAAGCCGACACTTTGTAGAAGGGTAAAAAAATACAGTGGTGCCCCACATAGCAATGATAATCTGTGCAGCAAAAATCGTCGCTATACGGATTCGTATAATGCGACCCATTTAATGCGTTCCTATGGGCAAAAAATTCACCTTTAAGCGAAAATCCTCCATATGGCGGCTATTTTCGCTGCCCGGTAAGCGAGGAATGGGCACGAAAACACAGTGGGCGGCCATTTTTTTACTCGGCGGCCATTTTGGGACCGCCAATCAGCTGTCAGCAAAAATCGTCGCTATACAGATTCGTATAATGCGACCCGTTTAAAGCGTTCCTATGGGCAAAAAATTCACCTTTAAGCGAAAATCCTCCATATGGCGGCTATTTTCGCTGCCCGGTAAGCGAGGAATGGGCACGAAAAAACAGTGGGCGGCCATTTTTTTTACTCGGCGGCCATTTTGGAACTGCCAATCAGCTGTTGAGAAATCATCGTTATGCGAAAATCAGTAAGCGAAACAGCTTACTGATCATCGCAAAGCGATATTTTCCCATTAGAAACATCGCAATGCAATTGCAAAAACGATCGCAAAAAAATCATTGCTATGCGGATTCGTCGTTAAACGGGGTGCCCGTTAAGCGAGGCACCACTGTAATAACAAACAAATCTGAATAGGGTGGTGGGACTCCCTTACTGCCATGTTAAGCCTCCTTACTGAAATAAACTCAATTATTTGTGCTGCTCCTTTATTTTTGCTCTCAGGCTGTGAAGCACTTGAGGACGGCAGAGTTCAAGCCCTATGTTGTGTTTGTGAAGCCTCTTGTCACAGAGAAGAAGAAGAACGTCCTGACATCTCTTTCTCCAGATGACATCTTTGTCCCTCTTGTAAGGATTGCACATGGAAGCTGGGATGACTGAACCTGTGGCCCTTCAGATGTTGTTGGGACTTTATAGGGAATATGTAGCCTAATGGGGTTAATGGGATTTGGGAGTCATCAGGACCACCGATTCCTCACCTGTTTGGTTCACACAAATCTGGATTAAGATTCCCTTTCCTTGTCTCAAATAGCATGCCCAGACTCTTCTGGAAGTGCTGACTGAGAGCCTTGTGGTCCCCTGACCCACCTTCCCTATGCAAAACAGCTTGTACCCACTTCCTCTCCCACTTTATCCTCACATCAATTCTGTGCATTATATTTAGCTGTAAGAATGTGATTGGCCTAAAGTCATCTAGTGAGTTTCATGGCTCATTCATGATTAGAACCAGCATCACTCAACTCCCAGCACAGGGGTCTAACCACTATGCTGTCCTATCTCTTTCTGTCTTGATTTGCAGGATGAGGAGCAGCAAGAAATGGTAAACTCAGCTGCTTTCATTGAGGAACAGTATGGCCACCTAATTGACAGTGTCCTGGTAAAGGAAGATCTCCCCAGTGCATGCAACCAGTTGAAAGCCATATTGGAGAAACTAAGTACAGACTCATTTTGGGTGCCAATCTCTTGGGTCAGGGTGTAGTCAACTATGCTGTGCCAAACAAAAGAAGAAGATTTGCCTGTTTGTTGGTATGCTGTAAATAGGAAGGATGATCAAAAGGGAAAGAAATGCCCAGTGGAACAGCCAGCTTCACTTGGATGAGCAGCAAAGGGAATCCACCTGGGAACTTGTTCTGATGAACCCTTTTACCTTCACAGGAATGAAAAGTCTTCGAAGGTAATGAAAAAAATCACTGCAAGATACAGTGGTGTGAGCCATTGGAGAGTGGTCTGATCTCACATTCCAGGTATCTGGGTGGAAGCCTTTTTCTTTTCTTTTCTCTATAAAGACTTGCAATCTGGGCTTAAAATGTGGCAGCCTAGATAAAGGGTGTATCCAGATGGAAAGCTTTTAGCACTACAAATTACAAGGCACCAGGCATTTATTCTGTCTTTTTCTCCTTAATAGACATTTGTTTCTGAAAAGCTGGATGGAGCAGTGTGGGAACAGTGGGAGGGGCAAAACTGGAAAACAATGCCCTCAGCTCCTTGCCTTCCACATCCCATAAAGTCCTGTGTTTGAGGCAGGATGAAAGCTTCATCTAGAATCACCCAAAGACTAGATACTGAGGGAAATGGTACGAATTTTGTATTACAAGAAAGAGAAGCTTCATCTAAGATGACAGCAATTGAAAATAGATGAACAATCAATTCCATTGAAGAGTTATATTTTCAAGTAACAAAATCGGAAACTCTCTTTTAAAACCCGGTTGGGCAGATAGAATTGAGAGAGGTCTTATCCAGATGGCGATCACTCATACTTTTGCCAAAGGGAAGCTTTGCAGGGGAGAGCAGCGAAGTGTTTAAATTTCTGCCTCAAAATTAATCACAGTGTAGTCGGAACTAATATACTCAGAGTCATCAAAGTGGGATGTCCTCTATTGTATCTGCTAGTTGCCCAAAAATGGCTTTTCCCAAACTGCCGCTCTCTGGATGTGTTTGGCTACACCTCACATCATTCCTGGGCAGGGGGATGATGGGGACCCTAGCACGTGCTGTATGGGAAGGTGCTAGGTTGGGGAATGCTATCCAAAATGGCATGCTAAATCAGGTGCTTACACTACTAGACATTTTCCCTTGTCCTAACCAGAATACCAGAAATTCCAAAAGAGCAAATTGCCCAGACAGGTGCTTACACTACTAGACATTTTCCCTTATCCCAGAATACCAGAAATTCCAAATGAGCAAATTGCCCAGAGATCTCTAAAGTACAGAATATCTGAGCAAGAATTAAAATGCTGAGATGTTTGTGGAGGCCAGCTACATACTCTGGAAAAGTTTCTGTTTAGTCCAGTGGTCTGAATTTGTGAAAACAACATGAGGATGAGGACAGGGAATTGACAGGAAAATTCCTGATCAGATATCACTGTAAATGCATCAGATCTTTTCATGGGATCATAGCAGAGCCCATGGAGGCTGGAGGATTCTGGAAATTATGGTCCAAAAAATAAAATAAAATAGTATTTCCTGGCTCTGAATCACAAGTGTCAGTTGGCAGGAGTGACATTAATCCAGCATTAATCCAGGCCTGTGGGTGTCTTGCACACCCATGAAATTGCATGTGTATGCCTTGAACTGGATGCAGAGCTCAGCATTTCAAAATGCATATTCTTTTATTTTTTAAAAGCAAGACAAGTTTCTGATGTTTATGGCTATGGAAAATATATGTGTTTGTTGCTTTTTCTTTTGGTCTTGGTAGAAAAATAGAAGCTGCACATGGCTATTCTAAGGTGTGGTGTGGTGCATAAGAGCCCCTGTAGCCATGAAATCCATAGTCACCTTATCCTCAATCTCAGTACACTTCCTATTCCACCAGTCTTTGCTACTTAATTCCACAAAATAACCCAAAACAAAATAAGCTGAGATCTTGGAAGCAGACTAATTTATGCAGTGTAAACATGTACAAGCAAGTTGTCTTCATTTGCAGACTTCTCAATGCAGAATGCAGGGGTTTTGGCACATGATGTTGCTTTGGTGTTTGTTGTTCTGTATCCTCACACAACCCTTCATGTTCACTGTTTGCTTGGGTTTCTCCCAGCTCCTGGAAAATCCTTTCTGAACTTATTCCGTTGTAATATTTTTCTGTGTTGTATTTCTTTGTAAGAACTGTCCCAATGAGTAAAACTTGGCACTGGCTGTTTTTCAGCCTGTTAGGTGTGTCAGCCAAAACCTGTATCACAAACCTTAATGCTGGAGTGATTAATGTACTTGTTATTTAGATTAGTGGCTGCAAAATTATATTGACAAGAGGTTGAACTCACTGGTTCATTGGAGTTTGATCAGAATTTCTCATGGAGAAGATTGCCAATAACACGCCAGCTTCCCCAAAAGATAGCTTAGAAATTGAGATGTATTCTCAATGTGGATGGAAAATAATTTCAAAAATTTGAAATTTTTGCTGAAATTATCCATTTTGCATCTTCCAAGATTTGTTGTGAAACAGAGTGCACCCTGCCTCAGAAATCTGCATAATATTGCAGCTGGTGATATATTTCATATGTGCAAAATCCTGTCTACGATTTGGTAATATGAATGTTTAATATGTGTATAGTTGGAAAAATTTGCACGGATACACTTTAGTCAATGGGAAAATGTGTACAAAACATATGGTAGGAAGAGAGCATAAATAAATGTGGGCATTATCGAACATTTGTATAGAAAAAGAACATGAATTTCCATAGTGAGGGTGGGGTTGGTAACACCTCAGCAGAGTCTCACAGCCTGGTGTCAATAAAGGATAGGATGGGGTTGTAGATGAGATTTAGACTGATGCAACAAAATCAAGGCAGAGACATTTTAATATCCCTAGAACTAGAATAGAATGCCAATTAATGGAGGTGAATGGTGAGGTTTGAGCAGAGAGTGAGGGAAAGGAGACTAGCCCAGCCAGAACACAAAGCTGGAGTCTTCTGGAAGCTGGAGTTTTCTTCTTTTTTGAAAGGAACTTTTCCCATTTTCAGTCCAACAAGTTGGGACAAGACCCTGCGCACAATGCACTTCCAGCAGGAAATAGACATTCACTTGATATGTAATGTTCAATTCCCTCTTGCCTTCCCTTAATTGAGGGTGTAAAGAGGTGAGGAGGATCTTGCTTAGAATTCTATACATGGTCAGTGGATGTTTATTTCCTCCCAGTGTCACTATAATAGCACTCTTTCCTGAAGCCATGTATAGCTAGAATGCTTATGGGTAGGCAACCCTGTGTCTCCTTGGGTTGTAGTTCAAAACGTTCCAGCAGCTCCAACCAGCTTGACCAGTGGTGAGGACTTGTGGGAGTCATTCAAAATGTCTGGAATAAGCAGGTTGTCTACTTTGGCTACATTGGTTCCAAATGAGACTTTTAACCTAAACTAAATACATATTTTGAAAGGTACATGTCAGGAAGGGAGTACAGTACTCCACCATCATCAGTGTCCTCACACAAAAGATGTGTTTCAGGAAGAAATCTGATTCTATCCATGAAGGCTGTACATACAGGTAACAAGTGAACATGAAAAAAACACCCTCTTCAGATTCAACACTTCCACATGAAGAAAACAACAATACTGTAGAGGAGGCAAGACTAGGGACACAATTCCTCTCTCCTTGCATGTGGGGTACATGCATGAAGACAGCTGAATTGTTGTATAAAGCCTCCTCACGTGTTGTGTCCCAAGTAAGAGGTCCTCTATTGCTGATGAATGAAGTGAAACAAGCCTATTAATGAAAGTCTACCTTCGACCTTTGATACAGGATAAGAATTAGGTAGCCCTCCAAATGCTCTTTGACTTCAGTTTCCATCATGGCCATTGGTGAGGGGTGGTGGGAATTACCACCCAGCAAAATCACAAGGGACTCATATTCCCCAGGCTAGAATTCAAAAACTCAGGAATGTGTCCTGAGTTTTTGAGAAGCAGGCTGGAATTCCAGACAAGTGCTGCTGTGTTCTTTCACAAAGAAATTAATACAGGCAAGGTCATTTGAAGGAAGAAAATTGGGGGAAATCACAGTTACTGTATTTTCCTTTTGTAAAAATTTTACTTTGTGATTTAAGTGAAGCAATGCATAATATTTCTTTGAGTTTGTAGATTCAGTGCAAGAGGTTGAGTCCAACCCACTCACCCACTCCCCATGGCAAGCTATCTGGATGAAGAACTCAGAATTCTGTGCTTTCTCTTTGATATCCTTTTTAAATTGTTGCTCCTGAAGTAAATGCTTTTATTCTGTCACCAGATACATGCTGCTGCCTGTTTAGCTTTCTTCGATTTCTGCACATTAGCATTCATCCATGAAACGTCTTCATTTTTCCATAGCGTGATATTCTGACAGTGTGACCGGACAGCACATGTTTTATGCAAGCAGGCAAATCACTGGAGAACAAAAATGGATCAGTCTCATGTCAGGGAAAGACTTATGGTAAAAAGGACTATGCTGCCAGGACATCAGGGCCTGCTTTTAGGTATGGCTGCAAATAATACCCTTCCCCACCATCGTGGTGCAGAGTACTCTAGCTGATAAAATTATTTTGCCACTGGAGGGAACAGATTCCTCTTTTCACTTCTGTGGCAGTAAAAAATACAATAATTATTCATTATATTATTTGGAAAAAAACAGCTCATTGCAGAATTTAGAAGTAACTCATTGCATTGCCTCATATTTTTGTTAGTATTCTTTTTAAACCCTCATTGCATTGCCTCATATTTTTGTTAGTCTTTTTAAACGTTAGGATTGGTAAATACATGACAGAAAACCTAAACTTGAAAAATTCCTGCAGATAAACAATTCGTGCAGAATAACTGGAAGAGATAGCTAGAAGATGTTGCCCTATCCCAAAAGATAGCTGGATTCCACTTGTGTTACTTTTGGAAAGCAATAGGAAAGGCTTTAAAATATATACAGTTCCCAGAATCCCACAGCTACTGGAGTCACTATGCTGCTGACTATTGGATTCTGAGTTCAACCCCCTCTCTCAGATTTTTCCATTTCTGCTTCGAGGATGTAACTTCATTAGACCTTTGTCATCTCCCAGGTATTTATTTATTTATTTTTATATACCACCTCATTAGTGCAATGCACTATTCTGGGCAGTTCACAACATGAAACAAGTAAACATATAACTAAATAATACAGTAAACGAGTTAAACAGTAAAATAATTACTACAGGTTACTATGTTGCTTATAACTTACAGTATTTCCAAATTCTGTAAATGCCTACCATAGCAATGTGCTGCCACTTCATGATATTTAAGGTGAATTAACTTACTTTACCCAGTGATGGGTCTGGCTTTGATATGATCAGCCACATACAATACAGAACATTGTAGAGCTTCCTGGTATACCAACAAATGTTTGTGTAAACTTCCTCCTAAGGTTCTGTATGTTCACTTCTTAGTTATGGTGCTGAAGTGTTCCATGAGGCGAGAAAGAGTTGGCACCCTTTTTTCTCAAAAAACTAAAGTCAGTGCTTTCAATAGAATGCAGGTATGCTACATATTCTGTACAGTTCATGCTGCCCTGATGCAAGACTGTGGAAACTGTAAAAACAAATTGTATACTTTCATTTGCTTAATCAGTCAAGCCCACTGAACACATTGTGCTGCCTGAGGCAGAACCGCAAATGATGCCACGGTCCCCTTTCTTCCCATTTTCCTACCACATCAGTGTCATACTACCAAGCCAGCTAAGTTATTTTGGTACCTGACCTGAGGTAAAGAAAACGTCTTCTCCCTAGCATTACGAATACAGAAATGACCAGCATTTTTTTTGCTGTTCTATGACACCTACAATCAGCTGAGCAATTATTTTGGTACCTGACCTGAGGTAAAGAAGATGTCTTCTCCCTAGTACTACGGATACAGAAATGACCAGCAATTTTCTGCCGTTCTGTGACACCTACAATCTGCTGAGCATGGCAGCAGATTTCTCCATGTCATGATAGCACTGGCCATGCAAGTTGAACTGCTTTAACACATGAAGAGCGGGCTTATCCTGCTCTTGTTAGTAGGATACTTCTACCTTATCTACTCATAAGTAAATCTGATTAAATTCAGGACTTAACCTGTGTGTGTAAGATTGCAGCCTTAGGCAGTTTGTTTCTCACTGGCAATGGGATTTGTGTGTTTTGTTGCTTTGGGAACCCGTTTTATTTTTTATTTTTTATTTTTGCTTTGGGAACCCACTGCTAAAATTGTTCAGCTGGCTGGATAGCTCAGTGAGTTAGAAACTGGATGTTCAGTTCCCCACTATGCATTCCAGAACAGCCAGCCTGTGTGGCCTTGGGCAAGCTGCACAGTCCTAAGGTGCCCCCAGGAGAAGGGAATGGTAAACCACTTCTGAGTACTGTCTCCCTAGGAAATCCTGGGAAGGCTTGCCATATGTCAGAATTCACTTGACAGCACTCTATTATTTTTAATAATTGTCCATTTTGCTTAATCTATCTTGTTTTACTGTTGTATACCTACCCTCCCCCCATCGTGTACAATGAAAAATCCTTCTTCAAATTTTAAATAGCTTTCATTACAGACGGTATTGACAGGAACATATGGCACAGAATAATTTTGAAATGAGCAGTGGCTCTCTGTTGTTCCTGATTTAATATCTTTTATTTATAACATAAATAAATCACTGTGTTGGATAGAGTACTGGGCCTGAAACAGCAGCTAGCTCTCCTCCTTCAAATAGAGCCATTGCTCAATCATTGCAAAGACTCAAGCAGGAGGAACTGAACAGCAGCAATCCAGCTGTTTTTGAGAGCTTCTTGAGCCAGGAATTGGTACGGAGACATAGACACATGCTGGCTCTCAACACCGTGTCGAAATGATAACAGAATTAATCCTTTCTCAACTAGGCCTTAATGGTGACTGAACACAAGCTTCTGTTTCTGACTTTGAAGGTTACTTCTAAAAAACTGTGAGCTGCAGCTGTAGTTCTGAGGCTCATGGGGCTGGAGGAATCTGCTGACTGGGGGTGAGAGCTTCTCAGTACAAGATAACTACTCTGGCCTAACACTTTTGGATTTCAATTCCCAGATGCCCCAGTTATCAGAGTTGATGTTGAGGAATTGTGGGAGCTGTAGTTCAAATGTTTGAGGGCCAAAGCCTCCTCACCTCTCCTATAAAAGGAGGTTTGCCTAATATATTTGATGTGACCAGTAGGAATCCAGAGACAGACCTTGTGGATCTTTACTGGTCCTGGCAATAGAAATCTGATTAGATAAAAAATAGACTGAAAGATCTAATAAAGAGTGAGTGTTTATTTCATAGTATTCATAGCCCACCTTTTCTCCAGTAAACTCAAATTAATGTACACGTCTGTCTTCCTCGCTTTATCTTCACAATAAAATAAAGTGAGGAAAGTAGGTTAGACTGGTAAAAAGTGTGAGGTAGGTTAGACTGAGGGGATATGGGTGACCCAAGGTCACCCAGTGAGTTTCATCTCCAAGTGAGGCTTGAGCGCAGGTCACTTGGCTCAGTTTAGTTTTATAAGAATTAAAACACACTGGCTCCTGGTAAGAACCTTTCTAAACACAAAACTACATCTTCATGAGCCACTAAGAAGAGCCACTTTTTCATATATTGTGAGACTTCGAGTAGCTCCTGCCCATAACATGGGTATTGAAGTCTTAGCTTTTTTGAAAACTGGTGGACAGATTAAAAATCCCTGAAACTGAACTGTTGAGTTTCACAGTTTGGGTATCACAACAGAGGAAGCCCTAGTCCACGCTCTTATTCCTGATTTTCTCATTTGTACTAGGAATGCACCATACCTAGATCTTTGAGGGTAGGCTTTCCTGTGAAAGATATTGACACCCACTGAGAAGTCCCAAAAGAAAGGAACATATTTTGTGCCATGTTTGCCACTGATTTGCAAATACACATTATCAGTGAAAGTAAATATTTGCTCTAAAGACTGGTGAAATCTAACAGAACCAGGAAAGCAATTTTCTTTAAAAATGATTAAAAAAAAAAAGGCATCATAGATGCGTCAATACTTCATGGAGCAACTGTGCAAGATCTGAGATTGTTTATAATTTGCCCATTGTTACAAAAAAAAAAAAGGTTTCATAAGAATTAAGGTAATAACATCTTCCTCAAAACTGGTGACAGTATTCCCTCAAAAAAGAAACAATCTTTGATTTCTTGAGCAAATAAGATGGTCTGTATTGGCTGCAGAAGATGAGTAAGAACTTACTTGAGCATCCATGCAGTGATGTTAAGAAAAGAAGAGGTCCCTTCTGGTTTCTAGATTGTTTCAATTTCACAACATCAAAGTCAGACTGAAAAGGAATGATTCTTTGCAAAAAGTATGACAAACATAATAGCAAACTGCAAAATGGTAATATGTCACAATAAGAGGACCTTCAAAAAAGCTCCATGTCATTTTTGGTCAGTCTTCTGCCACTTACCCTTTAGCTGCCTATTTTAGCATCACTGACTGGCCACTTTTACAAGCTTATCCACACAGAGTATGGTATGTCCATAAAATATTTCGTAAACTTTATAAGTTTTTGAAGAAAAAAAATCCCACAATTCAACTATCTAGCTATGTGCACATTGGCTGTTTTCTTATGTTCTATCTCTGTGCAAATGCAGAAAGTAAAGGCAGTGAAATGCTATATTCTTTGCATAATGGATCAGAGCTGTTATCAGACCTGGCCCTTCTTTATGCATGAAAAAAAATTGAAGGAGGACTGAGCAGAATGTTTATAAACAATGAAACTCCTGCATGTAATATCTCAAAGTCACAACATACAGTATTGACATGTCCTTAGGTAGCAGCCATTTTGTCTATACTAGCACAACATTTTCTTCTCAGTGATATGACTGACACGGACTGAGTTTTCTGCAAAAATGTCTAAGGTGGTAGCTGTGTTTTCTCCCACAGCAGAAATAACGAAAAATACTCTAGCTGTATCTTAAAGACTTAAAAAGTTTTATTTGGCATTACAACCTCACATCCACGAGAATTCTTCTAGAGGTCAGATTATCTCTTGTAACTTGAATAGGATGAAGTCTCTTTATCACAACCCATGTGTGAATCTGTTTATCTGTGCTAGGATATTTATATCGTCACCCATTTGCATTTTTTTAGTGACAACTGTTAAGATAATGATGATCAAGGTCTGTATCTTTTTGCATGTCAACTTCTGTATGTTCTTCTTTCATCCAAGCATCTGTATAAGTATCTGCCCGCAAAGACAACTGTGCATCAGATGACATGTGCTGCAGTGCATAAAAACGTAAGCCAAATAAAACTTGTTAATCTTTAAGGTGTTACTAACTGTTTTTTGCACTTCTTATGGCTCCACTTATTTCTTTCATAAATTGGAACAGAATCCCATAGAAAGTTAAATGTGCGTTTGGTGTGCCTTGGGATTTTCCCCAAGCAAAAAGCAGAAGCAAAAGAGAAATGTTCCTTCAACACTCATGTTTTATTCTAATATTTCAATAAAGATTATCAGCCAGTCACTGACAGAGCCATCAACTAGCTGTTATGTTCGAGCAGCCCCAAATCCCTTGTTATACCTTGCATAGCCTCGCTTTCTGTAATAAATCAGAAGGAGAAATGTTAGAAAGACATATTAGATGTGTCATCAGAGAAATCTGGGCCCTTCATTGCTTTGGAAGTCTTCTCTTGGGCCATATGTACTCCCTCAGTTTATCACCCTCTGGGGGGCAGCGTGTGGACTGAGTGGATGGGGACACAGGGCAAAATTGCAGAAGAGATTATTCTTTTGCTCCAGTCACGAGATCCCTAGACCTCCCTCCTCTGCCTAAACGTTTGTATAGTTTCCCTATACCCATGTCCTCCTTCCCCAAATGCCTTTGTTTGGATGGTGCTTTATACCTACTCGCTGTTTGAGATTAGAAAGCAGGTGCTGTTTCTCAGATACTTCCTTGAATTCTGCAGAGGTGAAGACAGGTAAAGGTAAATTTAAAAAATCAGGGATGCTATTCAGTTGGTAAGTAGAATCCTATGAAATCTTCTGAACCTTGACCCAAAGCAGACACAAACTACCTCTCTACAGGTAGTTGAAAGAGACTGCACACTGTCTTTCCTTTAGAGACTCACAAAGCATTGCAAGAATTTAAAACATAAGTGAAAAATATGCAACCTATTGCATATGCCCCATGGCCCCACCATCTCTTATTCACTGATTAGTTTGAAGTTGTGGCCCCACAACGTCTGGAGGGGCACACAGTCCCCATCCATGCTTTAAGAAAACATGCAGATTCTCCTGAGTCTTATTTGGCAATAAGTTGAGAAATGTCTTTCTGATTTGTCACACCATAGCTATTCCAGGGGTATTAACTCTTTGGGTTCTTGTAGAATCACCTAGCCTTTGCTTTCTGGGTGGATCAAAGGAAAGAAAGAAGAGAAAACAGTGGAATGAAAGAGGTTTCACCTGGGCGCAACCTCTCATAATACTGGGAGGATGTGGTCTAGAACTGGGAGTCCCTTTCAAAATAATGATGATAAAGCATTTTCCACAGCCTCTTGTTTTCACACAAGAAACATGTGGCAAAACTTTTCCTGCAAAGACAAAGCCGGCAGCTGTGTCATTTGCTTTCCCTTTCTGTGGGAGGTTTGTTGACATCAAGGGGATGTCACTCGACTTTGGGAAGATGTTTTTATTCCACCCGACAAAGAAATTAGGGCTGGCAGCTTTTTTGCAATAATGGAACTGGTGAGAAAGGGATGAGGTGGGGTGGAGGCTGCAATGTGGCGTGTGGGATTGAAACTCACTGCCACCACTGTTGCTTAATAACGGGGTTAGAACATTTACTTCCCACACAGGAGCTTCTGAAACAGCCCCTCACTATCCCTCTTTTCACACCCCTCCCAGATAATCACAACTGTGAATGCTGTGGGGTTTGGGTGTGTTCCCTCCCCAACATTAATCAACTATAGAAGTTCTGTTTTTAATTTGGAAATGTAAAAATTAAATGGTGCTGATATAATGGGGAAGTTAATAGAAGCTCAAGGTACTGCATACATTTTCTCATAAGTTCTTCCTTTCATTGGGTAAAAATCACAACGGTGGGGAGGTTTAACCCTTCCCTACTTCATTAGCCTATGATTTAAATGGCACAAACCCCATCTCTTCCCAATTTCTCTATTTCTTCCAGAAATGGACTGGGAGAAGAGACTCAGATAGCAGAAACGGAGTAGAAGGAAAATATGTTCTATTCTGCATTAATGTTCATGATCTCTAAGGCATGTCATTTAAATACGTCTTGCGTCATCTGTGAAAGCAAGGGCTATGCAAGGGCAGTGGTTCCTAACCTTGGGTCCCCAAATGTTCTTGGACCACAACTCCCAGAAATCTTGACCAGCACAGGTAGTGATGAAGGCTTCTGGTAGTTTTAGTCCAAGAACATCTGGGGACCCAAGGTTGCGAACCACTGTCATAGGTTATTGTTCTTGGAGAAATCAATTCCGTATGTGCCCAGTCCAGCTACTATAAGGGTAGCAACTAAACTCAGAAGTATTAAGGAAGCCCAGCAAAGGGAGAGAAATCAGCATTATTATTCCTGTTAATTAAAAAACAACAGCAATTCTGTCCCCAAGTTTGGCACCACAGCACCACTGTAATCAGTATCAGACTCTGAGGTACCATTTTGCATGTGGCTCTACATGGCCCTATGCCACTGTTTTGTATCCATGTCTGCTTGCAGGCCTCTAAGAAGTACCAAAGTCAGTCCTGCAACCTTTGAGACTTGCCTGGCATCCTATCAAGCATCAAGGCAAAGCTATTATATTGGCTGGTCCTTCCAAGCCTTGAGCTACTACAAGCAAGGAACTGATAATGGAGTGTTTTCTGAGAACTATGCCAAAGGATGGTCTTGCCTGCCAATCCAACTCAGATTGTCTCCGGTCATAGGTTGGCTTCCGATCTCTGATCCTCTTAAGGATTCCCTGGTTCTCCACAGTAATCCTCACGAGTTCGACATTCTGCTTCTGTCGAAATGAGCTGCAAAACCCAAATAGGTTCTATTTCACATGGGAGGACACATGCACAAGGAGAACACCCCAGGAAAGGAGAGGGAGGAGCTTGGCTTGGGCTGGAAACCCAAGCTGGTGAAAGAAGGCGCACAGATTGAGGATCTTTAGGGTTTAGATCCAGACTTATATATACTAAAAAGCATTGCTTGGTAATGTTACTTTATTGGCCAGTGGCAATGTTGGCTGTGGGATTTCAGGTGCTGTTGCTGAGAAAAGTAGCTTTTCCAAACTCTGCTTAGAGTTGACGATGCAATCATTGGAATTTAAGTCAATGATGACTAACTTATACTCCACTGATCTGAACAAGTCTACTTTTAATCATGATTAAATCTGTATTAACCTAAATAGTGGCACTAATAGCTGTGTCTTACACTAACAAATGTAAAGACATAATATACACATCCATTTAGCTGTGGCAAGTTACAAAAAGGCTTGCTATGATCATTTATACTACATAGTATAAGTTTGAAAGTAATAACCCATCAGGATATTCTGCACCTATTTTAGTGCCCTGCAATCTGGTGCTTCTTCTCCATTCAGAACACCATCTGCTTTTGGGTTTCTTCTAATTGTACAGAGACTGGGTTGGTAAATCTCCTTTTTTTTCCTTGTCTTTTCCCTCACCCTCTCCCCAAATCTGGTGAATGAGGAACAGGCAGAATTGCTGCAACTGTTCCTTTTGATAGGTGATACTATGAACCTCGCCTTCCATCTGGAAGCATCAAGGGACATTTATTTAACAGGCTTTTCAAAACCGTCACACAAGCAGCCTGCTCTTCCGTCTGAGCAGCATATCTCATTAAGCTTCCATTCCAAAGATCCGCTTGGGAATCTAAATGCCAGACTTTCTACAGCAGGCACAGGTTGCAAGGGAACTGCTACCGTCTTCCATCCTCACCTCCTCTGCCACCGAATCTGTCAACCTGCTTTAAAACATGCACAAATGAAGCTCCTGTTTGCAGAGCTTGGAAGTATTACTGTTTAGGACTACAACTCCCAGAATCCCCTATGCAGCATGGAAATGGGATTCTGGGAGTTGTATTCCACCCCACCACATTTCCAACCTCTGAGTGTCTGGAAGCATTCATTAATGCTTCCCAAGCACCTACCTCTTCTGTTGGTACTCGTTCCAGCAGTCAACCATGCCCGCTCCGCGATATATATCGGCTAGCCGCGCTGAAAGGGCTTTGTTTTCCCTTTCAATCAGCCCAATTTTCTTTTGGGCATCCTGGAGAAAGAGATGTTGATGGTGTGAGTTAATTGTTGTTGTTTTAAAGATGCTATTACCACACCTTCTTCTGCACCCAACAGATAAGCTACAAAACTCAATGTTGCCCCCAAATCAACCAGCATGCCAGTCCTATCTTCCCGTTTCTGTTCACATGCATGATATACTCCTGTTCCAGAGTTTTGCTTTCCTATTATTACTATTTATAAATGACAAATTCAGGATTGTCTTTCTCGCCGTCTTTTGAATTTCTTCACTGCAAACAAATCCTATTATTGTATCTTAATGGCAAACCGGGGACCTGTGACTGGATATTTTATTGCAGGACCTCAGACTACGTTACGCCCAGAAATGACAGGAAATGTACAAAACAATGAAACAAACAAACAATCTTGACTAGAAGTGGCTGGAAATTCTACTGCATTTGATTTTGGGGCAGGAGATTGGAGGAATACAGATGGGTTCTGTGCTACTGCTGGAGGCCACTGGTGGAAAAAAAGGATATTTTTGCAATTTATTCACTTGTGGTGGGGCGGGGTGGCTTAAAACCTGCCTGCCTCCTTCACTTTGTCCACCCCTCTTTGACTGTGTTCTTTTAAAAATATCAATGTACTTGTGCCTCCAAGTGTCTTTGCTTTAATTAGAGCAAATAGCTTTGGGCATGGAACGACCACTTAGCATTTATAGACATTCTTCTATGTGAGCCTTTAGGTAACCTTTTCTTAGAAGATATTAAGTGCAGACATGCCGAAATAATGCATGGGACTGGTGAAGCGGAGGAGGGCCTGAGACAGCTGTAGTAATTGTATGACTTGGATACTTGGTGGGGAGTTCAGTTCTCCACTTGCTTCCCAGGACAGGAGCCAGCCTGGGTAGCCGTGACAAGCTCCACAGTCCTAGGGTACCCCCAGAAGACAGGAGGAGACTGGTAAACCACTTCTGATTATTTTATACCTTGGAAACCTTGAAAAGCCAGAAACCCTAAGTCAGAATTGTTCTGATGGCATTCAGTTATTATAATACATGGCTATTTAGCCACAAGCCGCCATCGCAATAAAAACCACAATAAAAGCAGAAAATAGCATGCACAAAACAGGTGGGGTTAACACTTATTCTTTCTAAAACAGCTGAACACTTTCCTTGCAGCTATAGCAAACTGCCACGAGATGAGACTTAACAAAGAGTGGACTTTCACATAACATTCCCACTATATAGGATGAAATCCACACTAGACTAGGACCATTAAATCAGCGAGGATTTGGTTAGTTCCTCCATAAGTTCTGTTCAATGGGCTTACTCCAGTTCAACTTATTTTAGTGTTCTTCACAGGCCTTGCTTCTTTGGGTTGCCACACCAAGAGAGGCAAAGAGGATGGTTACTAGAAATTGTGCCTTCTACGTGGTGGCCCCATCCTTAAGGAACAGGTTCCTAGTAGAAGGAACAGGTTCCCAGTAGAAGGAACAGGTTCCCAGTAGAAGTCCCATCCCTTAAGAGGATGCTAAAGACTGTTCTATTTCAAGAAGTGTTTAAAGACAACCTCTCTTAATTTTAATCTGTGCCCCCTGATTCTGCCATCATTTGGGGGACTCTTTTTAATTATCATTCATTTAATGTTGGTTTGTTGGGAGGATGCATGAATTATTGTTGTATTGTTTTGTTGTAAAATGCTAAGACCAGTGCTTAGCACTAAATCAGTGGTATATAAATATACGGAATAAATAAATAAATTTTGCATCCCTCTTAGAATTAGGAAATCTCTCTTTCTGTCCACATTCATAATATTAGTCAGTGGATCCACTAAGGAGAAAATTTCCTAAAACTCAAAAGAGAAACCATCAAAATCTAGATATATCTCTTATTTTTCTTTTCTAATTTAACATCTTAATTACATGGGCTACTGGCACAGGTTCATTTGGCGTCTCCGTCCTCTCTTCCTCCACAATCTTGGGGAGTTTTAGCTTCTGAAGGAAAGAGAGTACGGAGACGTCATTAGCTTTTTTCTAAGACTAAACATCTAAATAGTATATATATATTTTTAAAAAACATCCTTTACTAAAGCAAAAAAGTGTGCTGCTTATATACCAACCCCACAGCAATTAAAGCACTCTGTGGACGGTTTAAAATTTAATTGTTCATGCTACACATTGCCCCCTACCTTGCCAGTGTGCTGGGTATTCAATTTACCAACCTCCGAAAGATGGAAGGCTGAGTGAACCTCTGGTTGGTTACCTGATCCTAGGATTGAACTCAGGTCATGAGCAGGGTATTCACTGCAGTACTGCAGTTTAACCACTGCACCACATGGCTCTACTAGGTCCTGTTTAATTCAAACCAATTTTTCCTCTAGCATGGTACAATGCTTTTCAGATTAAAACAAAACAAAATTAAACAACACAAAAAAACTACCAAATGGCACATTGACCTCTTATGTCACTTGTCCCTCTTTTTGAAGAAACACTGCTTACTAAATAGCAGCTTCCTCTATACTAATTGTCCCTGACCTGGTGTCCTCTAGATATTTTAGACTAGTGCTTCCGGACATTGGGTCCTCAGATCTTTTTGGACTACAATTCCCAGAAATCCTGACCAACAGGGATAGTGGTGAAGGCTTCTGGGAGTTTTAATCCAAGAACATCTGGGAACCCAGATTGAAAACCAGTGTTTTAGACCAATGACTCCCAACCTTGGGTAACCCAGGTGATCTTAGATTGCAGTTCCCAGGAGCCTTCATCAACCTCTGTGATGGTTCCGGTTTCTGGGAGCTGCAGTCCAAGAACACTTGGGATACCCAAGGTTGGGAACCACTGCTTTAGACTACAGCTCTTAGCCTTCCTGGTCCATTGGCCACATTGTTTCAGGCTGAGGAAGATGAAATCTGAAACATCTGATGGACAGGGAAGACTTCTCTAAATTTTTAATGTTTCTACTGTACTGGATCCAACATGTTTATTTTTTTAAAAAATACTCTTTTGTTGAACCAGAAACATGTACCTTTCTGGTTTAATCTTTGAATTTCCATTTAATGTCAAACTTCCTTTATTCCTGAATTTATTGTCAAGTCAAATGATAACTGATAGCAATTCCACAGACTTTCAGGCCTGAGCAATTGTGCTTGCAAACAAAGCCCAGGTTTGCCTCCTAATAAGCTACTCATCCAACAAAACAAGCTCATTTGTAAGCTAAGAGGAAGGAGGAGAAAGCATATGCGATGATAATCAAATATTTTTCAAGTATTTGAAGAATTCCAACTGCCAGCAATAGTTATCTGGATTGTCTAATTTTAGTCTTGGATCTTAAAACAATCAGATACATATCTTTAGTGCCTTGACCTCACTGCCAGAAAAGTGGATTATAAATGTAACTAATACATATACAGTGGTGCCTCGCAAGATGATTCGCATAACGACGAATTCGCTTTACGATGAGGTTTTTGGAGTGATCTTGCGCTTCGTTTAATGATGTTTCCTATGGATGATTTTCACTTTACGATGTTAGGGACCTTGCCTCGCAAGACGGTTAAATTTTAGGTCCCTGTTTTTCATTTTACAATGTTTTTGACAGCTTGGTCTTGCTTCGCTATACGAGTCTTTTAATGGTCTCTGTTTCGTTAGATGGCTTTCTTCGCTTGGGAACCGCGTTTCGCTTAACCATGTTTCCTATGGCAATTTTCGCTTTACGATGACAATCCGTTGATTGTTCCCATTGGAACGGATTATCAGGTTTTCAATGCATTTCAATGGGAAAACATGTTTCACAAGATGATGCTTTCGCTTAAAAGCGATTTTCGCGGAACAAATTAACATCGTCTTACGAGGCACCACTGTACATATACATGCATATGTACATTCATTCAGTCATACAGATAACAGCTTTGCGAGCTTTTCATACTGCAGCTTTACTGACATCTGATTTACAAAGCAAAGATGGCTCAGTCTAGGCTGTAAATGTTGAAATATGCACTAGGACAAGATACGGTCACTTCATGCTGAGCAAATCTTAGGAAAAATCACTTCCTTTGGATTACAGCACCCAGGATCTTCCAGTGTTCTTGTGGATAAACTTGCACTTCCTAGCCCAAACACTATGCTACTATACTATCGTATCAGTAGTATAGTAATTCATTGTTTCCAGCTAGCATTTAGCTCCTTTTCTCAGTAACAAACATGTAAGTACACTATGTGGAGTGGAGGATTCTGGAAGTTGCAGTCTATTAATGTAACTTTCTCCGAGTTTGAATTCTTGTCTGACCATTGGACATATTAAACACTAGTGTTGACTCTATACCAGCCACAGCTGTCTAAAGTCTCCTGTTTGTTGTTATGCTCAGTCAAGTTAGAATTGGCTTATAGTGACCCTAATAGGGTGTTCAAGGAAAGTGAGGTATTTAAGCAGTAGCTTTACCAGTTTCCACCCTCAGTGAGTTTCCATGGTTGAGTGGGTATTTGAACCCAGGCCTCCTGAGTCCTCACAGAAGCATTTACTAGCTCTGCCACTTAGGTACTTTCACTAGAGATACCTGGGGCTGGAGCTGGGTTTCTTCACACACAAAGCACACTGTATACTCTGCTCCCAAGATATGGTCTCTCACAGAATAACAAATTCTGCATTTATGAAGTTGCAGAATACAAATAATTCTACTCATAGATCAAGTTTCCTTGACGTGCAGGGAAGCAAGTTGGCTCACAACAGAGAAGCATAACCTCTCAGTTCATATAGAGCTTTATGGGGCATAGTCAGCAATTGGTATGGAGTCCTGAAATCCAGAGGTAACCGGTCAAACTATTGAAAGAGTCGCATGCTCTCAGCAAGAGTTCCTGGCTAATCTTCTGTAGTTTCCAAACCAGGCCCAGCCAACCATTACTGAAGCTTCCAACACTTTCCAAAGACAACCCAACATGGAGCACATTGTTGTAGTTCAACATGGAATGTCACATACTTGTATCTTGGTGACCTTGAAGTAGCGGTGAGCCTTGGCACTTGGTGGTTTATTATCCACCTGAGACTTTGCTGGTGAGAGAAGAAGGAACATTTGTGGGAAAGGACAAAGGTGGATTCACACAAGATCTGATCTGCTAAGGCACCTAAGCTTCTCTCCACTCTAAGATAATGCATATCTTCTACTGACTTCTTCCAAGCTCTTCTGAGATAAACACATCTTAAAAAACATTATCTTTTGTGTCTATAAGTCAGAGAATTTTTTAATTTTGCCTAGTAACATGACCAGTTTTGTTAGTAATTTGATACATTTTGGTTGAAAGTAACAAAACCTTCCAAAAGGTTGATGATGGATGTCTGTGTACATAAAGTTAGTGTAAAACCCTTCCCCAAAAAAGACATGCCAGTAAGATGTATGAAGAAGTCAGTGCTTAGAAGGTTGGAAGGGAGATACAAAATGTACAGTGCATCCATAGCAGCAAAGCGTGCTTAGAAGGTTGGAAGGGAGATACAAAACGTACAGTGCATCCATAGCAGCAAAGCATTGTTTGTTTGATAATAACTCATGAAATGAAGACAAAAATAGGAAGAACTTCAACTATGGCCCTATACCATTTGTAATGTTGAGTGGTATGCTGACGAAGGGATTTCTTGGTTCTGCTGTTCTGCAGGTATGATGCTTTCCTTACTCTCTTGGAGTGAAACCTTATAGCCAGCATTCTTCTTGAGAGTCCAAATTAGAGTCAACTCCCAGAATCAATTGCTAAATAGCAAATCAACCATTATGTGAATCCCACAGAGGATGTCAATGCTCTGGATTTGATTCACATCCTGCATTACATTTGAAATCGCAGTCAGTGCTCACACAGAGGCTACAGATTCACTCAGAAGTTTGCTGTTCGTACTGAATCTGATGCAATTCACATTCCAGCCCACCCCCATTTCTTTCCTCTCTTTCTCTGGTCCCACTTCTACTGATCCTTTTATGGAGTTTAAATATGGGAAATAGTAATAACAAAGACCCAGTGATAAGGAGGTAGGACGATCTAGCACTAACCTCATATATGTAACACATTTTTTAAAAATAAAAAATATTCAGAGGGCAATTGGGAGAGGAAAGAATGTGGGGGCATGTTTCCCTGGTCCTGAACATCATGGCCCAATTGGCTACATCACCAGAACACCATCTATAGGCATGCCCCCGTCTTTATAAGAATATACCAGAACTAACCACACATGTGATCACTAGAACCAATCCAAAGCAAGTCTTCTTTCAATTTACGTAGTAATATCAGAACCCAATCCAAAGCAAGTCTTCTTTCAATTTATGTACTAATATCATGAAGTGGCTTAATAAGCAAGCCACTTCCGGATATTGGCTAATTAATCACTTTCCCTGATTGGCAGAGGGCAGGGCATGTGGGAAAAAATCATTTTGCCTGCATGTACACTATTGCTGATGCACTACATCAGATCTTTTCTTTGCCTCACTTTAAAGGGTCAGTCGAGAAACTGCCCACTGTTGAATCCACAGTGATGGCTTCAGCTGTAGGGAGTTTCTCAACAGCCCTTTAAGAGAAGGCAAAGAAAAGATTGTTTTGCTGAAAATTAATAACTGATGCAGTGTATCAGCAATAGTCTATATATACAGTCAACCCCACCCCTCCACTTCCCCTGCCCTCTGCCAAGCAGGGAGAGTGACTAATCTGCCAATATCCTGAAGTGGCTCACTTATTAAACCATGATATTCGCAGAAGCCATTTGTGTGAATGGTCTGGCTTGATTCGATCATTCTAATCAAGCCCAGCTATTCCCCAGTAGCCCATACTAGCTCGCTTCCTGCTGCTAGTGTAGTCACACCCTAAGATTTAAACTGTTCTCCTCCTTTTTTTTAGCTAGAGTGCAATTGTGATGTGCGGTGCTTCCTTCAGCTTTTAGTGTTTCTTGCAGGGTTATTGTGGGTTTCACACTGTATTCAACATTATTTTCTACAACTGCAATATGAATTGCCCTGGGTATTTTATCAAAGTGAGAGACAGCAGAGAAAATGATGTCCTGATTTTCAGCAGGGTGCGTGTGGGCTCACTATAGATCTTTGCATCTATATCCCCATTTTGAAACTATGATCCTGAGCATGCACATACCTGGGAGTCATCCTAAATGGAACCTGGGGAGGGGGGGACTTATTTGAAAATAAGCACACATAAGATGGCATTGTACAATTCAAATACTTAAACAAGTTTAAGATCACAAGAAGCCTACCCAATTCTGTTTTGCCACGGCGAGAAAATTCACCCGGTAGGGACTGTTTCTTTCCAGAGGTGAGTTTATGCCTAGAATTGGCAACAACCACAGGGAATGTCAAGATTTCTAAGCTGCTCATTTTGGTACAGCCTTTTGGTACCAGGTCCCAAGAAAAAAAGGCAAAGCCTAAGGTATCACCTTCTGAACTACCCTTCCCTGTTGCCTGAGGCTTGTCATAGACGCCCGGCTGTGACATCATCAGTTATGAAAATGCCACAGGAAGGGAGGGTTGAGTGTGTCATGCAAAAACCCATAGCCTTTAGGTGCAATGGGCTGACCACCACAAGCTACTTCTGGTTGACTGCTTGTTAGAATTACACCTTCCTTTTTCTCCAGTGAATTCACACTCCCCTCTTCCCTAGTTTTCTTGCCTGGACAACTTCCTTGTTAGATCAGCCAGACTGTCCTTGCGTCAGGGATCTTAGCAAGTCTTTGGGTCTGAGTCCAAAGTCTGAATCTAAGTCTTTCGTAACAAGTCCCAAGTCCGAGTCTGGTACCAAGTTCCAAGTCTGAGTCCAAGTCTTTGGTACCAAGTCTCGAGCCCCAAATCAGAGTTCCTATTAAAGCCAAGCTTTTTCCCCATTAAAAAGGGATGGGTGGCTGGATTCTGAGTCATGGGGTGAGTCCAAGTTATTGAAAAAACAACCCTGAGCTGTGTGACTCGTGTGACTTAAGTCCAACTTGACAGCGAGTCTTGTGACTCAACTGTACACAGGGGGGGGATGCTTAAGATGATGCTTTGAGAGTGGTGGTGGCTTAGCAGTGGCTTAAAGCTGGATCTTTTAAGTCCCATTCCTGATTAGTACTCCCACACTGCCTGGGACATTTATCCTGGGAAAGTTGACTTATATGTCAAAGAAACGGTCCACTTCATTCTAGGTGCTGTCTACTGAAAAAGGCTATCAGGAACAGGAATCAACTGGAGTGTGGGACATTTATCCTGGGAAAGTTGACTTTTGTGTCAAAGAAACGGCCCACTTCATTCTAGGTGCTGTCTATCAGGGACTATCAGGGACAGGAAACAACTAGAACAGTGGTTCCCAACCTTGGGTCCCCAGATGTTCTTGAACTGTAATTCCCAGAAGCCTTCACCACTAGCTATGCTGGCCAGGATTTCTGGGAACTGAAGTTCAAGAACATCTGGGTTACTCAAGGTTGGGAACCACTGAACTAAAGGAAGATCACTGGCCTGCTTATGAAAAGGGTGAGAATAACACCCTCAAAGGCTAGTTATGCCATCTGTGTCTGGAGAAGTGGGTTGCAATCCATTAATGTTGATACCAAAATAAAATTATCAGCCTTAAAGGTGCTACTGTGCTTCATTTTGTTTTTTGTTGATCTAATGCTCCAGACTTGTTGGATAATTGCCAAAAGATAAATCTATTTTCTACTGTACTTTGGGATAAATCTGCCCTTGTTTTTCCCCTCACTCAGCCAAAAGATCTGTAAAATTCCTGTTGCAGCTGCCATCCCAGTATTTTACTGGTAAGTCCCTCTTTTGCAGACTATAGCACATTCACCTTCTAAGAATATGCTGAGTTGACAGGAGAGACAAAAACTGGGTCTTAGAGAAATGTACTCAAAGTACAAAAATGGTTTATCTTAACATTTTCTGAAGAGGCCTATGTTAGTGATCATTGCAGCATTCTGTGATATTGCCCGCTGGCCAGCCCTATTGTGTCCCTGTTGTATTTCTTTTCCCTCCAGCTGATTTTGAAGGCATTGGGTTAGATCCTGATTTATTCAAACTCAAGAGTGTAACTGGAGAAAGAAGGGAATGGTAAACCACTTGTGAATACTCTCTACTTAGGGCCATCATACATCAGAATTGGCAGATGATAATGATGGTTATTGTTGTTGCTGTTGTTTAAGACTTACAGGCTGAAATCCAGCAGTAAGATGCAACTAGAATAGGCCCATTGACTCAGTGGTGATATGGTCCATAACTGTTCCATAGGTTCCATTGATTCAATGGACCTACTCTAGCTGTGTCTTACTACTGGATTTCAGCCACTGATTTCAGTGGATCTACCGGTACTTTAAAAACAGTGGTACTTTAAGTATCTACCGGTACTTTAAAAAAAATTCTGTTTGCACAGTGTGACTGGATGTCTACAGGAAGCTCCAAAAACAAAAAAAATTCTGTTTGCACAGTGTGACTGTCTGGATGTCTACAGGAAGCTCCAAAAAGAGAAGGACAAGATTGTCTTCCTGCTCATTGTCCCAGCAACTGCTACTTCTACACTGGAGATAACAGTCAGTGTCTAATGTTAAATTTCCCAACCTAACTGCAGAGGGACTGCAAGTTTCTTCTGCTCCCTCTCCCTCTGCAGTTCCCCATTATGTCAAAAGTTTCCCAGCCCTCTAGAACAGATTTTTAGGGGACTTTGGGAGATGAAATATAGACAATGGTTGCTGATTTTATTAGATGTAACAAGTTTAAGTCTACGACTGAATTCTGGCTGACGTATAACCAGAAAACCTATTAAACTGAACTTGTTTTATTTCTCTACTTCTTTTATTTTTCTATTCTGTATTCCACCTTTCTATAATACACCCTAAATGCCTGACATTGATAATAATGAACATATGGTGGGTTGCATCTGAAGCCCTCTTCTCTCTCTGAAGGAACCTTTTTATTTTGGAGGAAAGGAATGTTTTGGTACAATTGGGTGCAAGTAGTTTTAACAACTATAACAGTAGTCAAAGAAAGGAACCAATCAGATGAGCAACAACCCCCCCTCTCCCAAATTAACTGTCCTTGCCTCCTACAGAAGTTAAATTGTGGCCTGTTGAACCTGCTTTCTAACAAAAGACAGAACTGGGAGTGGAGGGGACATGTTATGCACACGTCACATGTAGTTTGCCCATATCTTTGCAGGACTTGAAATCTCTCATGTGGGAGACTAGTGTCACCAAGCCAACAGATCTATTTCACATTTTAATTTTAAATTGAGCTAGCCAATTTGAAAACATGAATTCAGCACCTTGAAGAGCTCCTGTAAAGTTCTGACTAAGACATGGAGTGGATTCACCACCCAGCTGCAACATCATAATCACCAGCTTCCATAGGCTGGGGGTGATGAGAATGGGCACCTGCCACATCTGGAAAACCCCAGGTTGACAGAAAGCTATTGTGGGGTATTTCAAGTCTATGAGGCTGCGGGGCCCTTTGATTCATTTTTATTATACCAAAAATCATGTAAAATTCTCCAAAAGATGTGCAACAAAGATAGATATACAATGGTAATAATAAAAGAATCTTTACTGAAGTTCTTATAGAAGGCTGCAAATGTCTAAAAAATGTCCATGCAAAATTGTCATCTATATGCTGTGCATTATGTTTACAGAGTTGAGGTGCTAAATCAATCAGAAAACAGAAGGTGGACATTTAACTTGCCAATGTTGTAATATAAGTCTTTTTACTACAGTAGGGGCACAGATAATCCATTTTTCTGAACCACTGCAAGGAAGTAGACACGTTATTTAAAAGCTCATAAACATCATCTATAAAAGTCAAGAAAATGCTCCAGAGTGAAATTAATACAATGAGTTCCCTATCCTCCAAAGAGCCAGTGATTCAACATGACCGGAACATATGTTGAAGGGATACATCAGATGAATTACAATGCCAGAAATTAGACATGTTGCTTACACACAGGTGCCTTTGTGACATCAACCCTAACTTTGCCTAGAAACCAATATATTCCTTGGAGGACAAGGGAAGAAGTACTGTATCTCCAGACCTGACAAGGATTGGTGTTTTAGGTTCCTGATGTCACAAAGGAACTTGCTTTCCAATCGGAAAAAGTAGATCTAAACCTTTGGCTCTCCAGATACATTGGACTTTAACTCCCAGAAACTGTGGCCAACATGGCAGGGATTTGAGGAGTTGGCATCCAGAAAGAACCACCACTTTAAAACAAAGAAGCCACGGAAAAATACTGCTGGAAGGGACTAGAAAGGAGAGTTGGGGCTGGGGGGTGGGGGAAGTCCCAAGAAGTTAGAGTAGAAAGAAGCCTGGATAAAGGGAAATATGCTTCAGTCTGGTTGGAAAGAGGAGACTGGAGTTTTCATTCAAGCAAAATGCAATCCATTCTTAAAATCAAATTTCCATAAAGAGCTATACACATCCGTGTAGTAGGCATCCTTCAGTCTCAAGAGGCTATGGTAACGTGCTCTGAATAGAGGTCTTGGAACAGCGTCTAGTGTGGCTGAGAAGGCCAATATGAGAGTGACAATCCCTTCCACACTGAAGACAAATACAATCTGTCCCCTCTGCAGTTCCCTGATTTGGCAGGTTTGGGGATTGCCTCTTTGCCTCAGCCTGCTGGACAAGGGTCTCTTCAAATTGGGAGAGGCCATGCTCCACCACCTGCCTCCAGGCTGAATGCTCAGATGTCAACATATCTATTATTTATAGATATGAACCTGGAAACACTGTTCAATATTATATACATTTATCTTACAAAATGGAAAAGAACACAATTATACCCATTTATTTCTCAGCATGCAGTTTATTGCATCATCTTAAGACTTGCTGTAGTGCACTTACTCTGTTTCTCTCAGGCTTTTAAATAGTTGTTAAATTTTTATTTCAGGGCTTGTTTTTAACAATGTAATTTAATTCAGATTTAATATTGTACCTTGTTGTCTTTTTAGGTCTTTCTGCTTAATTCATATAGTGTGTTTCCACCGCCACTCCCCTTTTACATTGGAAGAAGGGGGAATGTAAATAATTGAATAAAGTCGGAACTCCTTGCTCTCAAATGAATCAAGAAGCTTCACTGGCCTTCAGTGAAATGTTATCTACAAGATTTCCTTGCAGTTTGTTTTTTGTTTGGCAAAGACTTAACCTTCATGGGGCGGGGATTTTATTTTTGTATTCTCTTGCCTCATACGGCACCTAAATGATCATATATCAAAATCCACACTGCAGTGAAAAAAATATTATTATTATTTTTTTGCAAATAACACACAAGTCGATGCAAAATATTTAAAACACAAACAAAACAGACATTCGTGTTGGAGAGTTTGGATAAAATGGTTGATGGTGCTGAGCTCCTGCGTCTTTTAACCTGCCTTAAAGAATCTTATGCCATGCTGTTCTTTTATTATTTTATTGTGTTTTATTAGTTGTACAATTTGTTAGCTGCCCCAGACACACCAGTTGGCCCTGAATAAAAATCTTGGAATTTATTTCTTTAATCCCACTCTTACCCATTTTTTTCTATTTAAAATTGGATGAATTTGTAAACATGACTCTGTGGTAGTATGGTTATGACTTAGACATTACTCCTTCCTTTGGCCAGACTGAGAAATAAGAATAATCACAGAACTGCAGAGCTGAAAGGGACCCAATGGACCATCAAGTCCAGCTCCTTTCAGAGAAGCACAGAGAGGAATTGAACTCACAACCTCTGGCTCCATAGTCAGATACCTAAACCACTGAGCTATCCAACAGTTCACAGTTTTATGGCAGAACACTAGCTCTGCATGAAGAAAGTCTCAACTTCAATCCTTAGTATCTTGGGTGGGTCTAGAAAAGGCTTTTTTGGGGGAGATTTTCTGACAGTCAGTGTAGCTCAGCTTGCTCAAGCTGGCATCCCATAGTCTCCATTAGAGATGGGCATGAACAGGTGTTCAGCATTTCCCAGCCCCTCCTCCTCCTCCTCCTCCTGGCTGGCCCTTACTCAGAGGCAGCACTCAAAGGAGATGGGGCAGAGAAGCCAGGCTGCTGCTGCCTCGGAGCGGGGCTGCTGAAGTCGGGCTGGGAAGTGCCAAACACCTGCTCATCTGATGGACAAATTGGCATGACCCACGGATCTGGTGGTTCGTGCCCACCTCTAGTCCCCATCATTCCCAGCCATTTGCTGACTGGGGATACTGCACATTGTAGTTAAGGCATGGGCTTCAGGAACCCTATTACTGAGCTAGATGGTTCAAGGGCAGCTATGAAGGCAGGAGGAGGAAGCTATGATTTGACTTATAGAGTTCTTCTTGAACATCCAAAATACTCAGAGTCTTCTGTGAAACTCCTTTACTTGTGCGTTTGTGAACAGATATTGCAAAGATGCCATAAATCTCCAGTGCTTTCTTGATCAGAGGAAAGATGAGCAACTGTGGCCGTATGGCCTGCAAGCCCCACAACCCCACACCATGCACCATGTTTCCCAGGGCTGACTGGGAGCTCTATCTCTGAAGGGCCACAACACACCCACCCTGGAGTTTTGTTTTGTTTTTTGTTTTTGTTTTTGGCTACCCTTGGGCATTTTCTCAACTTGGCAAAGGGATGAGGGGAGCAGGCAATAATATACCAACATGGCCATCTTCTTGAGAGAAGATAGAAGGCAGGAATGATGACAGTGCAAGAGGGACACGTCAACCTCTGAGGTATCGTTGACCTGAGCAGCTTTTATTTGAAGATGGTTGGGTTTCAAATAAGAGTGCAGTATGCACCACTGCAGGCATCAGCTTCTTTAAGTCCTTGGTTCCCTGCCAACTTCCCTCCCTCCCTTCTGACATGCCACAGTTCTGGAGTCTGCAGGATCCTTACGACCACTTCCTCAAAGGCTTCTTGGACTCCATCCCTCATTTTAGCGCTGGCCTCTGTGCAAAAGACGCAAACAAACAAGCACACAAAACATCAAGAAACATCCTTCATTTTGAACAAAAGACAGTGTTCTCCAAGCTTGTGGTGGGCAATTTGCATCTGGTTTTCTGACTATAGCTCCCATCATCTGTCCATAGATATGCAGTGTAAAGATGATGGGGTAACACTACAGTGGTACCTGGACAACCACAAGTTACCCATTCTTGTGTTAGGTCCACTTTGAGCAATCATTTTGGGTCACTACAGCGTGCTTGTGGGGACTCCCTGAAACATTAATATAAGGTGAAACCTCAATCATATCACCTCACAACATTCATCCTCAATTCTCTAAGCAGTTCCCATTTTAGGATGTTGCAGTTATTTTTTCATATCTTAGGGCCACTAGGGCTGGAGGTGATGGTAGCTGTGTTCCATAAGCTGTTCTTCTCCACTCTTTACCAAACCCACAGCACCCCTTTCACAATATTCCCCACATACCCACAAACAGCATGGAGTGTTTCTGAGCAAACAGCAAGCCTTCCCGTCTTTCTACCTCACGGTCAGGCTGTAGAGAGGGAGAGAAGGCTGTTAGATATGGGTGTGATTGGAGGACCATTTAAAAAACAATAAATTTGTGTGAGGGGAGTCAATCTCCCTTGAGGCTGTTAGATATGGGTGTGATTGGAGGAGGACCATTTAAAAAACAACAAATAAATGTGTGTGAGGGGAGTGAATCTCCCTCCCTGCTGCAGCCCCCAAGCACCCTAAAACCTTTGGGGAGAAGCTCCAAGGGCTGAAGGAGGGAATAAAAATCCTGAGATACTCCCAGCAACGTCATGATCCAGGCTAGGGGTGAGAATCAGGTTGGCCATGGACTTTATGCAGCCTGTCAAAGCACCAGGACAACCTCCACAAACAATATCCCACTACTTGTTTTTCTTTGAATCCAAAATAGAGAATCCCCTCAGAAGTCCTCATTTTAAGATTATTCTGCCCATTCCCTTAAAAAAATCTGAAACAGTCCTCTTTTAAAACTTGAAGTGACTCTTGTCACTTCCAGTTTCGAAAAGGGACAGTTGCAGACCATGGAGGTCAAGGGGAGATGGAAAATACATTGGACGTGGGCACTCCACATTTACATCATCATCATCAACAACAACTCAGAACTGCAAAGCAGGAAAAGATCCTAAAAGGGACAGTTGCAGACCATGGAGGTCAAAGGGAGATGGAAACTACATTGGATGTGAGCACTCCACATTTACATGATCATCATCATCATCATCATCGACTCAGAACTGCAGAGCTGGAAAGGACCCTAAAGTCCAGCCCCTGTCAAGGAGGCAGAGTGGGGAACTGAACTCCCAGATACCTAAACCACATAACTATCCAGCAGTTCCTACCCCTGGCTTAGGTCAATGTTGGAGAAATCAATGAAAAAAATCAATAAGGAAAAATAACCAGCTCATTAAAATTTTCAAGGAAGCCCAAATACAGTATTAGGATGTTGTCATTATTGCTGTCATTATATTATAATATGTATTAATATATCAGGTTTACAGTATATGTAAAATTATTATGAGGGCTTCAAACATATGATCTTTGGAAAGGTCCAAGATGTTCCTGAGCCTCATTCTGAGGGCACAGAACAATGCCTAACCTCAGAGGGGGAGGATATATGGTTCCCCCTACTGTGTAATTATATCATACTGAGGTTTCTATTACCCCTTTACAAATTATTCCCTGCCATCTTGCAGAGCAGAAGTTGCAGGGATGTTTTGTGCTTTGTTTGCTGTTATTTTAAGCATCCTCCTCAAACAGTAAAAGGAGTTATTATTTCAAAGAACATTTGTTGGACATGCTGAAATTCTCCAGACGAAGAGGTGGCCCAGGGCCATTTATCTTAGAATAATCCAGTACGGGTGAAGGTTCAGATAGTGTTGGGATTGAGAAATGAGTTTCAGGGTGTCTGCATTTCAGAGTTGGTCTGTTCCTCTAAAGGGCCCTGATATTTCAGAGGATTAAGTTGCTTCTTAAGGGCACCAGCTTACTCTGCCAACAGGAAACAACTCTGAGGCAAAACACAACTTCTTTGGAGTTGTGCTCCAAGAATTAATCTTGGTTTGGACTTTGTTCTGTAGAGGATGAGTTTATAGCAAAACAACAACAAGCCAAACCCCCAAACCATTTGCCAGAGAGATGCTGAGAAAGAAAAAAGAACGAACAAGAAAGGCAGCAGAGAGCCGAAACGGCGGTGATGCATCTTTTTCTATCTCCCTCTTGATTCTGTCTTGATTGCTTTTTGTATTGGGATGTGGAGCCTGGAGCAGCAACAGAAAACAAGAGCCTTTCAAAAGAGACCCGACTGCCATTGGAGGCAGACGAAACAGATTGGCTGCTAAGTAAGAAAGGGAGAAAGACAGAGAGCCCAGCTGTTGCCAAAGAACCTGAGGTACGGAGGCAGCTGGTGCCTCTGGTGAGGCGTAGGAGGCCGGCAACAACAGCAGCAAACAACCGGCAGGCCCCTGCACGCTCGGAGAAGGCTCCCAAGTGACCCAGAGAGAAGGAGGGGAGGTAATTACCGGCAGCCTTTTGAGCTCTTTTGCTTTAGCTATTAATGCAGTCCGCACTTCAGCTCTACCAGAGGCTGCCTGCAGTCTCCATTGATTATCAGCAGATCTAAGATGTGACTGGCATCTTTTATCAGAATGTACACCTACAATGACTTGAAGAGCCACTTTTGCACCACAGCACACCAACCATAGGGAAATCTTCCTCCCCACTTTTGTTAGTTCTTTAATCCATTTTCTCTTAACACTTTTTTATACACATATCATAGCTCTCTCTTATTCGTTCACTCTCTGTGGATCTCTCCCTGTTTAACCCCCTGTATTTTTTTCCCTTCTCCATGCCACTCCACATCTCTCTGTGCCCAACTGCAACTTCCGCTGTTTGTTACTGTTTTCATTTCCCCAGCCACTGGATTTCTTATAGTCCTATACGTCCGAATTTGCTTTATGAACCTCTCTCTGCACCACCACCCCTTAGCCTCCTGTTTGTTATTTCTCTACCAAAGAGATTTCTGCATGTCTACCTCAAAGTTACTCTGTCTCCTCATGAGGAGCTGGCAAAAGACCATCAAGCTGTAGTCCCAGAAGAGGAGTTAAGCATCTCTTCTTTTGTATCCCAGCTCTCATTAACTCACACCAATCCCTCTTTTTATATGCAAAAAAAATACAGCATGACAATTGTACTTCACTGTCCCAGGGGAGTGGGGGAAGGGTAATTCTCTTTCCTTGAGACCATCATCCACTTAGTATTCACTCAGTGCAGATCTCAATTAAGATAAACTTTAAGGGATCAGGTGTGGCTTTTGGGAGCTGTCAGGGACTTCTGCGATACCCGGACTATGGAAGGACAGATATATGGAAGGAAGGACGATGGGGTGAAATTTGGTCTGGAACAGCCACGTGGCCATCAGATGCAGACCACGATCAGCATGATGATCTAAAACAGTGACTGCCAACATTTGGCCCTCTAGAAAGCTTTGACTTCAGAAGGCCTGGGTGACAACATAAATGGTTTGGGGTGCTGGGGGTCCAAAGCACCGAGAGAGGCAATCATTGACCTAAGCAATACAGGATGAGAACTGTCCTCACTTTTTGGCTCTCTGCCAAACAAGCTAAGGGTCCAACAACTAACCTCATCAATTTTGTTGCCCACCAACATCTTCACAACATTCTTCTTTGTATACATCTCCAGCTCCTCCAGCCAGCTATCCAGTGCCAGAAAAGTCTCTCTCCTGGTGACATCATAAACTGGACAGGAGCCACAAAGTAAGCAAACACAATTGTTCTTCACCAAGATGCCTGTGCACAGAACAGCACTACAGTATGACTGGGAGGGAGAAATAGTCACCCCATGTTTTCCCCTAGGAAATCTGAAGCAACTAGACTAGAGAGCCCCATTGTTTACCCTGTGTTAGGCAATGAGAGTGGAAAATATTGATTTTAAAAATCTTAGAACTGCAGCAATTAAAGGGACTCTATGGATCACTGAGTCCAGCCTCTGGCAGGGAGGCACAGTGGGGGAATCAAACTCCCAGCCTTTGGTTCTGCAGCCATATACCTAAACTAAGCTATCTCAACAGTTGCTAGTGCAGCCCTCCTCAACCTGGGTTCTTCCAGATGTTGTTAGATTATGAAACTCATTGTCCTAAACCATTGGCCTTGCTAGCTGATGGGACTTCTAGCTCACAACATCTGGAAGGACCAGCTTTGTGGAGAGCTGTTCTAGATTGGTATGGGAGCAGCTCCCTATGCTGGTTTGTATGCACACTAGTATGAATGAATGCTGCTGCAATCAGGCTAGCTTTTAAGTGTCATAAGCCCCAAACAAATCTATATTGCTGAGTCCTCCCCAAGAGTTATGGAGGAAGGCATGCCTTCCACATTTCAAGAACATCAGGCTGGATGTTACATAAAAAGAGTGAACCTGGCTTGACCTTAAAACCATAGTTTGCATTGTTCTGCATGTCTGAAGATGGAGAGTAAGAAAAGGTGAAAGAAACAGGTGTACAAAAACATGATGAATGTTTTCGACTGTGCCAAAGTGGGGAACCAGTGGCCCTCCAGATGTTGGCCAGTGAAGAAAAACGAGTCATAAATTCCCCACCTCTGGATTAGGCTAGTTATGTTATGTAGATTTGAGGTTACATTGAGTGATATGCACAGGGGCGGATTACCCATTTCTGAGAATATAAAATAATTTTCACATTTTGCAGATGGATACAGATGCTCATTTAATTTTTATTTACTCATTATTTTTACTCAAAATATATTTCACCTTTTTCTGCAACAAAATGGTGCTTACTCTGAAGGAAATGTGCAGCAATTGCAAAGCCCATTATTCCTACCGTCAGAATTGTGTTATTTTAAATACGTTCAAAATGCAATACCACGTAGGTTCAGACACTGCCATAGCAAGCAGCAAGAGTTATTTGGGAAAAAGATGACTGTAACATATTCAAGTGGGAGATGGCAGCAGGCAAGCAAAAGGTGAAAAACATCAGTTCTGTGCTTTATAAGTAAACTAACATACAAGGCTGCTGAAAACAGAGTTCTGAATGAACACATAATAAAAAAAAATTTTTTAAAGTAAGAAGGGCCTGGGGGGTAAAACATAACTTTCCAAAAACTGAGGTGAATTTTTTTGGGAGCATGACAAGTAATGCTTACTTATTACTTTTAAATATTCCTAGCTGGTCATTTCAGGGGATATTTGGATCCCTGGGGGCATTTGTTTCGGTTTTGAAAAATGATTTTAAAATATACGAAAAGTTAGCTTTTTCAGTTATGTTTCTGAGCATTGCCTAGAAGACCATGATATTTAGAGTAAAAAACTGGCTTAGCCTTGGGGGGAAAACCCCATAACTTCTCAAAACATGAGATAATACTTTGGGAGGTGGTAGCATGACAAGTAATGCTTACTTATTCTAACTATTACTAGCTGGTCCTTTCAGGGAATATTTGGTTCCCTGGGGGCAGTATTTCTTTCCTGGAAAAATGTACTACCACATACCAGCACATCCAGCAACGTATAACACAGAATGTGGTTGTGTGAATGTCACAGGCACATGGACAGCCTGTAATTAGGGCTGTTGAACCATCCAACTTTTAACCTTGCAAGCCCGAATCACTTTGGGAAATTTACAAAACTCAATCCTCTAACACAGCCCCCTAACACAAGCCCCTGGAGGAATATTGTGGTAATGTCAAAATGCATCAGGGAGATCAATATGATTAGGAAAACGGCCTCCCATTCTACAAAAGTCTATTAATTTTATGCTTTAGACAATGTCAATTGGAAATGTATCAGAAGCCAAGGTAAGGGGGCTTGCTGCAGCTTTTATATCAGAAATACTCTGAAGAAATACAACACTCTTTGCCAAGGGAACAACTATGGCTGCCAACCAACAACTTCATGGCGTGGGGGTACACAACATGATTAATTGTTGGTCTTTTTCTGCCAGTGCCAGCTACCTTTGAAGGAAAAGAAATACCTCCATTTGCCTCTGCCTTAATGTGTTTGACTTCAGAGTTGTGCTAATTCCCACCCTACTCTGTCTGCCACCTACCTAAAATTACACCGTGAGCACCTCTGTAATAGCTAGGAGTCAGCGTTCGAAATCGCTCCTGCCCTGCGGTGTCCTGTGAGAAGGAAACAAAAGTGTTTAGAACCGAAAGGTCATTCAAAACCCTGGAACACAAATATTATAAAACTAAATTAATGTTCACAAATACGAACATTCACTTCCAAATATGTGTTCTGGCTTGGAGGGCATTTCCAGGGGATGGCCTGAGGAGCCTGCAGCAAAAACCATTGCCACGGTCCAAAAGATAAGCATTGATGTGTCCTAAAAATATTTTTATTTCTGTCTTAAAGGAAAAGCTCTAGTTTTACTGCAAGGTTTTGCAGGCACACCAACATAAGTAACATTAAATGTGAAAAGGGCATCAAGACAATTTCACTTCTGAAGTATTACGCAGTAGTCATTATGTGGTTTTTCTGTATTATTTTTAATGTATTCCTTCCCTCAATCTTACTACCAAGTATGTATGAAGCTGTACACTCTCACTCATCAGTAGACTTTGGGAATCCTGGGGTTTCTGAATTCCCCAAAAACTTTATGATAAAAACGTATGAGGGAACCAAAGTATCTGGAATAAATGAAAAACTTCTGAGCATGCTCAGCTGCCACAGAACACTGAGGACAGAACTCAATGTAATAAGTAACTCCTCATCAGAAATGTTACTTGCAAATTACCTTGTTTTGTCTCATAATGGATCTTTGGGAACTAAACCAGGCTTTATTTGCAAATCTGATCCCTCAGGTGACTGCCTAAATCATGTATCTGAGGACATATTATCTGTACAATATCATTTGGCTCTGAAAACTCTGGGAGATGAGAGAACAAAACAGAAAAAAAGGGGAAAGGGGGAAATGAAATGGGAGTCTGCTGGAAAAGGATATGGCTAGTTGGAGCACCAAACAGCAATACTTCATGATGTAATAAGTTTGTTAAAAGGTTCACTTGTAAGTTAACAAAAAGGATTTCATAACAATATCTTGGTTCTATATACTGTACTTATGGTTTGGGTATACAACTTTTATATTCCACTTTGTGGGAAACTGAGAAAGCCTGCCTTAGAGTGTGTTCCTAGTCACTGAAGTGTACAGAGCCAAACAGACAGAGATGCAACCTACAGAGGGGGTGAAAATAGGTCAAAATGCTATTGGCTACAGTGTCACCATCCACTGTCACTAGGGAATTACACAGATCCGGCAGCCCCCAAACTAGGTCTCACGAACCTCTTCAGAACGCCTGGCTTACCCCAAGTCCCCAATCCCCAATGGCAAAACTGTCTTAAATTAAAGTTGTCAATAAGCAAAATGAAACTGCGTGAATGGCCACAGCGGGTAAAGATCCACCAGCTAAAACCTACAGGTAAAATTTCTTGTCATTTTATCGTTTGATTGATTGGCAGCAGTGTAGTGCAATGCACGGAAAAATACATGAAATTTGGCATGGGGATGATCAGATGCAGAACGATGCTACTTGACATGGGGGACTAGAGAGAAAACTTGGCCTCCCACCTCCACTCAGAAGGGCTTCCCCGCCTCTAGCAAACCAATCAGAAATCTCAGTAGCTAGGCAAGTCTGTGTCCTGACCCAGAGGATTCAAATGACTCTGCCAGGAAGCCGATAATACATTTTCTAAAAGCAGTGTTCCAATTTTCCGGTCACCAAAAGTTCCTCAGTTAACTTATGGAGCTGAAAGATATTACGACCTATTAACATTTTCTGGAGAGTGTTCACTTATGGAAATTTATTATTTATGACATTTTAGCTTAATTATTTATTTACTTAATTCACTCTTTAATAGTCCATCTTTCTCCCAGCTCTGGATTCTAGGCAGTTTGCAACATAATTAAAACACGCACACAACCCTTGGATATAACAAAGCACAACGCATTATTATAATATTAAAACACCAATTGAACAAATGATACTATTGAAAAAGAAGATGAAGAGCAATTTAAAAGCACATCTGATTTAAAAAAAGGATAGCCATCTTTTTCCCATGTTACAAGCCCTTCCCTCGGCAGCTAGTATTAACAAAAACCTAGTGGGACAGAAGATCGGCAAAAGGACAGTGGAAAGTGGGCCAGCCAAGCCTCCCTGGGAAGGGATATTCAGTGTTGACAAGAGATGTGAGCCTTACCCATATCGCTAGCTGCAGAGGGAGGTCACGAACCACCATCTTCTTCACTTTAAAATCAACACCTGGCAAGCGAAGAGAGAGGGAAACATATGGCAGTCGGAACGAGACACACTAGTCTCCCAGCAAGAGGTCCAAGAGCCTGTACTGGTGGCCACATCAGCGGCAAACAAATTCAACAGGCAAACAAACCTTCCCCCATATCTTTGTGCTGGAAAATGCTGCTCCAAATGGAATGCTTGCTTATCAAGCAACTGGTCAAAGGAACACAAGGCCCATGGCAATTAGTGAGCTTAACGCGACTGTGACTGTTCAAAATAATTCTACTCCGCCTTTTCACAGCACAGCATACAAGGCCAATGTGCTATCGTGATTACAGTGATGTCTCGCATTTGGGAGATCTGAGTTCTCAAGGAGCCATGAAGTTGACTGGGTGACCTTGGGCCAGTCATGACCTCTGACTATGATCTACCTTGCAGGGGAGTTGTGTCCAAATAAAGCAGAGAAAAGGAAAGCTACAAACACAGACTTTAGCTAGCAGGAAGAAAGATGGGATGCAAAAGACAAACAGTGTACAGTATATATAGAATTCAGTGGATCTATGTTTGTGCATTAACTGGAAAGTAAGCTCTACTGACTTGGGTGGAGTTTTCTTTTGTGAAGACATATAAAAAAATTACACCTGTAATACAGTTAAATCCAAAGAAATTGAACAGTTAAGAAATATAGAGAGAAGTAGATGGAACTCTTAAGCTCACATTTATTTGAGCTACTTTCAAACAGAACAACTGTAACCTGCTATAGAAGTGATGAATTGGATGTCGCATAAGCATGCATATCTATTTTTCTATTTTTAAAAAATCTACAGCCTGCCATGCAGTTCAGAAGGTTTCACGACATGTTAAAAAGTTAAATTGTGAACAAGCAAGGTTCAGGACAGTTTTTAAATCCATAGGCCATTAATAAGAGAGATAGAAAGAACAGATAAAACATGAAGCAGGAATACCAAATTGAATAATGAAGAATTGCCTTCCTTCTTGAGGTCTTAGGCAGAGTTTGGAAACCTTCCTTCTCTGCATTAACTCCCAGAATCCACCAGCCAGCTATGCCAGTAGCCATGCTGGCTGAAGGATTATGGGAGGTATAATCCAAAAAAGGCACATTTCCATGGTCTGATCTTGTTCTGAAAGGCATCCCATACTCTTGTGTGGATGTTCTCTCTGTGGGTAGCAAGGAAGGCCTGTACCTTGAAGAAGGAGAGCCATGATTTTAAATCAGCCCCTTCTCCTCTTGCCTTCACACTTTCCCAACATCAGGGGCTTTTCTAGGGAGTCTTCTCATGAGATGGCCAAAGTATTGGAGCCTCAGCTTCAGGATCTGTAGTTAATGAACAGCAACTTCTTAGCTTAAGCTTGCCTGTAGTCTGATTTATGCTTTGCCTGAACCCTGAAATGAAATCTTTGGAAGTGTGACCATTTTGTACCCTTTTGCCTTATGCTTTTACCTTTTAATAAAGCTTTTTCTTTTAGAATAGATTCTTGGTGTGCTGAATCTGTTCTTGCAGAGCTATGTGGTTAATCTGGTCCAGAAAAGCCAAGCTATTTGACTACACTGTTTCAGTGTTAATTTATTTCTTGAGGGCATGCACAGAGTGCTGGAATTTTACACTCAAGTAATTAATCTGTGGTTAAGTAAATAAATCACGTTATTTCATAAAGGGGACTGGTGGGAGTGAGGAAATTTTGGAAACAAATAAAAGGCAATACCATGCTGGGAAAAGAGGAGCGGGCTGGTGGTCAGTAAAGGCTCAGACCCTAGGGGTGGGTGTAAGTATCACCAGAAACCCATTGGTCAGTAAAGGCTCAGACCCTAGGGGTGTAAGTATCGCCAGAAACCCACCCATGACCAAGATCATCCACACTCTTGTACTTCCAATCACCGTGTATGAAAGCTGGACAATTAAAAAGGTGACAGGAAAAAAAAGTTTTGTTTGAAATATGATGTTGGAGGAGAGCTTTGTAGATACCCTGGACTGTCAGAAAGACAAACAAGTGGGTCCTACATCAAATCAAGCCTGAACAATCTCACTTTCAAAAGAGTGGGTCCTACGTCAAATCAAGCCTGAACAATCTCAGTTTCAAAAGGTTGAAACTGAGGCTGCCCAATTGGGCACATCACGAGGAAGCAGGATTCTTTGGAAAATAAAACAATGCTGGGAAAAGTGGAAGGCAGCAGGAAAAGAGAAAGCCCAAATATGAGATGGACTGATTCCCAAAGGAAGCCATGGGCCTGCGAGAAGCAAGGCAGTTGAAGATAGGATTTTGGAGATCACTCATTCATAGGGTCACCATAAGTCAGAGGTGACTTGATGGCATGAAACAACGAGAATTTGCTCCAAATTGACACAGTGAAAAGCAAACAAGCACACTCCTACTTTGTCTTCTGGTTGGCATGATCCATGCAGGGTTGGGTGTAGTGTGCCTCCACCATAAACATTACTCTTCTGATCTCTGGTACCTCCAACTCATCAGTCTGGTGCTGATCAAGCAACTCTAGGTAAACCTGGGTCCAGATGACGACCTCTTTGTTAATGTTTCTAAGCAATACTCTTTTAAAGTCTTCTTCTAAAAGTGGGGCAATGCCTAGAATGCAGCATGGAGAGCTGCAGCTTGCACCGTTCCTCTCTGCTTTAAATATAACCTATAACCCTCATTTTAAAAAATACAGTGGTTATATTAGTCACATGAAGAGACTGGTTCATACCTGCAGGCAAAGCAGTCTTTGATCCTGCCTGTCTGAACAAGCAATTCAAGTTGTTGTTTGGCAAGAAAACATTTAGGGGTACCAGAGTTTTGACTATTTGCAATCATTTAAATGGCTTACGGGCACATTATGCTGAAGCTAAATAGATCAGAACAGGGCCTGGGTGGAAAATAACATGGACAAAACCATGTAAACTTGAGTTTTGAAGGAAACTGGATTAAAGGAAATGGTTAGCTGGATTAAATATAAAACCAGGCATCATCATCACCATTGTTAAACTCGGGGTATATAAAATGAGGCATATGCACAACAATGATACACTCCACAAGTCATGACCTTGGCAGTAAAACCACTTTCCTACCCACCCAGGCAAGTCATTCTTCACCGGACCATGGGCACTCTCTTTATCTAAACGTTTCCAAGATGGAGAAGAGGAGTCTGAAGTGCTCAGTTCACCCCACCCATGATTCCTGATGTAAACAATTCAAAAGGGACTCTGTGAGGAAGCCCAGATGCCAATGCAGGTGACAGCAAGGGAGTTCAAAAGACAGAGGCAACCAGCAGTGCTCACCAATGGTTGGATTGAGGTATGGTTGAAACTGGTTATCAGTGAATCTCAGCAAGAGGCTGCAAGAGGGGACAAAGAGAAAAAGGGTGAGCAACATGGAAACACTTCTGATGTCTTTCCCTTAAAGTGACATGCCAGCCCCTTCTTCCTCCATAACCCTCTGCCCCTGCTTTTCCATGTACCTGGATTTTCCCACTGAGCTGTCTCCAATCAACAGTAGCTTCAAGGTGGGGAACGGCACTATGCTTCCTTGTGCCATGGCGAGCCCTGGATCTAGCAAAAACAAAATAAGGGCACCACCCCAACATCTGAGCCAGAGACACTGGAAAGAGACGAACAAGGAGGAGTCAGAAGATGGATCATTCTCTCCACAGTAGGAAGGAGCAAATTCTTACTGGGAGAGGCACAAGGCTGCAGCCTAGGAAAATAAGCTAGAAGAAAAGATGAAGAGGGAAAAATAAGACTGTCCCCTCAAAATATTGCTCAGAGTAAAAGCGTATAATTTTATACAACCATATAAAATCAGAAGAAGTTTCAGGGTTGAACTATTCCCCCTTTTTGTCTGCAAAAGAGGGAGAAGTTTGGCAATACTTATTTTCTTATGACTGAAGATAGGAAAGTATAGGTCATCATAGGTTTTTCGGGCCATTTGGCCCTGTTCTGGAGGTTTTTCTTCCTAACATTTCGCCAGCCTCTGTGGCCGGCATCTTCAGAAGACAGGAGTTAGAACTCTGTGTTCTGGAATTATAGTTTATCTTGGATCAATCTGTGATAAGGGTTTGGACTGGAACAGGTAAATGGTCTGTAAGAATAACAGAGACAGGCGCCTGGGCAGGTGTCATTAACTATAGTCGCTACACCACTTACTCTGGAGTAAAAAGGTGCGCATGAAGCCAGTAGGGGAAAACGCAAGTGCCTGTTTTCTCAGAAGTTGCACTGAGAACAATATGCAGCATTTACTTCGAAAATAAAACAAAATGCCTAGGATTGAAAGCTTTTCTCCAATCAAATAAGCTGACAATTCCTCCCACCACTCCCCTCTGGTAGGAGAATAGTTGTCCGTTTTTAAAGTTTTTTTTTTAAATCTGAAGGACCCTGAACTAAAAAATAAAACCCGATTCTAATTAAGAAGTAAACCCCAGTGACTGGCTTCCACAACAAGGGGAAGAGGTTCTACGTTTTGTTTTGATGGCTCGTCCAGAAATGAGAGCCCAAGATCTACTTTAAAACGGCTCTGTCACGATTCCCAGACACATCTCCCCCAAAGAGCTGGGGGGTGGCGGTGGTTCAAAACCGGCCTGAAATGAGAGGCGAGGGCATTTCTCTCCCTTACCCGACCGTGAGATCTAGAGGAGGCGGAAGGTGACGGCTCAGGTTCAACCGAAGCCAAGCCTCTCTCTCTCCCACCCACCCCTCGCCTGCCGGTGTCAACATCTAGTTTCAGTACCAGGCGTCACCCCCCCCCCACACCAGGTCGTGTGAGGTGCCAAGGCAACGCTTTTGACATCTTTTGTCATCACTGAGTACACAGAGCCCGCCTCAGCACACCTGACATTTCCAGGTAAAACGCTATTCCTGGCACCTGTGGCTTTAAGTGGTAAACATCAGAATTTTAATTAATCTGGATTAAAAAAATAAAACACGATGTGGCCGGAGGGTAGAGCAATCCAACCAAGCGAGGTGAGTTCATCCCGAGTAAAATACTTTTAAAATGGCAAAGATAGCCTAAGGCGCCGAATGGAGATCGCCACCCAGTCAGGCGGCGGCGGGGTCCTGATGGCGGCCGATCTCCCCTGGCGCGCCGCCCAGGGCTGCTCGCCACCCGATCGGGCTCTCGGTTTCCCTCCCGGCCTCTGCTTGGGAGTTGCCGGCCGCCGCACACCAGCTGATCGCAGCCCCTCCTATCAGGCCGGGCCCGGGGAAGGGAGCAGGGAGGCGGCCCTGCCCATTCTCGGCGGGGCGAACGAGCCATGTCCGAGTTCCAGATCTCGGTGGAGGAGCTCAACGACCTGCTGGCCAACGGCAGCGGCTGCTACAGCCTCCCCAGCGCGCACAGCAACGAGGTGCTGCCCCGCGTCCACGTGGGCAACGCGTGAGTTTCTTCCCCCCCCCCCCGACCCCCCCCACCCCGACTTCTCCTGGCCTCGGGGGGGGGAGGAAATACATCACCCCTCCCCCCCGCCGGACACACTCCGCTTCGGGCTGGCTGTAGGCCCAGGGATTAGCCAGAGAGGAACCGGATCGGACGCCGGGGTGTGTGTGGGGGGGAGGTAGTGGGGATGGTCCCGGCGGGGTGGGCTACAACAGAGGAAGGGTGCTGGTTGAGGGGGCGAGATGATGATGACGGGCTGCTTTAGTCCCGGCTCTCGCCCTGGGTGGCCCAATCGCAGGACTTACAGGCCATCCTCCAGTCATAGGCTAGAAACCTACCCGGGTTTCCTTCTCTTCGTGGTTTGTACAATTGTCTTGGAAGGTATTTCTTTAAAAATCCGATTTATAAAGCCCAACTCTTTTCCTGAGGCCTTTTTTTGCATTGTGCCCTGTTTTGTTTTCTGTGCTGGGAGGCTGTTCCCACTTAACAGATAGGGAGACTGAGGCCAGAGGGGCCCACATTAAGGTTGTAACAGTCTGGATCCTTTTTTAGGGTCTTACAAAATGGGTTCAGGGCATTATGAAAGTGAGGGACTGAGACAAAAGCTTGCGGGTTCCTAGATAGCCAGGAGTGTATCTGTTCTGCATGCTTATCCCACATACCCTCTAGACCTCTTTGAATTACTGATCCTGTAATTGCTTCCCTTTCCATATGCTATATGGGGCTTCTGGGAGTTGAAACCCAAACTCTTTGGAAGACAGTAGTTTCCTCATCTATTGCAGGGGTGAGCAAAGTGTGACACTTCAAATGTTGTTGGACTTCAGCTCCCATCGTTCCTCACCCCTGTGCTGGTTTAGGCTGCTCTGGATTGCAGTCCAACAACATCTGGAGGACAGCAATATGCCCACCTCTTTTTGTTATTGTTTAGTTGTATCCGACTCTTCATGACCCCATGGACCAGCGCATGACAGGCCCCACTGCCTCCCAGAGTTGGGTCAAATTCATGTTGGTAGCTTCGATGACACTATCCAACCATCTCGTCCTCTGTTGTTTCCTTTCTTCTCTTGCCCTCACACTTTCCCAACATCAGGGTCTTTTCCAGGGAGTCTTCTCTTCTCATGAGATGGCCAAAGTACTGGAGCTTCTATTCTCTTCTCATGAGATGGCCAAAGTATTGGAGCTTCTACTCTTCTACAAAAACCCAGTGTGCAAACTGCTGGATAGCTCAATGGTTTATATATCTGACTATGGAACCAGAGGCTGGGAGTTGAATTCCCCACGATGCTTCCTTGACAGGGGCTGCACTTTAATCTTCTAGCTCTGCAATTTTAAAATTATTATTATTATTTGATGCTGTCTTATATTTAGTCAGACCATCGGTCCATCCAGCCTGGTACAGTCTGGTTGGTTGTGATTTCCTAGCAGCTCAAATTAGGGAGAGGTCTCAATCCATAATTTTCTACCAGATTCCTTTTAATGGAAGATGCCCAGGGAATAAATCTGGGACCTTCTGCATAGGAAACATATGCTGTACCCAACATACAGTATATATGTTGTGCTACTGTCATACTTAAAGAGAAATGCATTTCATATCTGCATCTCTACTTCAAATGTTTGATGGCAGGTGGATGAATATCCTGGATGGAGGCAATAGAACCATGCTTGTAAATGAAAATACAGATATGCTTGTGTTTCATAAAAGGGACAAAACTGAAATTCAGTAATAGATTAGCCAGGCCTTTGGCCAGCTGGTGAACAGTTTGGCGTCCTGATCCTAAACCTTCTTTCTAAGAAATTGGGTCTTGTTCATTGCACCAGAACCTGCTTCTGGGTGAGTTTGGTGGTTTATTTGATGAGCGCCACTTATAATGCAACATTTTTTTTATTCCTCTCAGTTGCAAATTGTAGCAGAAAGCTTTTCTGGCTGGAGTGTAAAATTGGCTTTAGCTTGGGCCTCTCATCTTGCATTAATGTGTTCCAAGTCTGTAGAATTTCTAGGAATTCTGGCCACCACCTGAGAGAATGCTTTGATGCAGACTTCGAAGACACAGGGAAAGAATAGATCCTGATCCTTTGAGACATAATTGCGAAGAGAAAATTCTGCAATTCGCTTAGACGGTAGTTTGCAAATGAGAATTGCCTTCTGCTTCTTTTCATGATACACACTTTAGAAGGCCTTTGTCCTAAAAGAAGACTTCTCAAATGAACCTTTGCCCTGGTCTTTTGTCCTTGTGGTCTTTCCTCCCACCCCACTTTCTGGTAGCTAAGTTTGAAAAGTGTCAGCTTGTTACTGCAATTTTGAAAGCGGCTCATGGATTTTTATGAAGCTCCATTATATAGACTCATCATGTTGTTTTGGCTCTGACAGGCAGTTGTCTTTTTGAGCCTTAAGAAGGGGGTTGGGAGATCTTTATTTGAACTCAGAAGGCTGGGATTTGATACAGCGACTGGCTGCATGCAAAATGTTTGCTCTTGCCCCTGCACTATCCAGCCTCCCCTCATAAAGTCACATACAGTTAGAAGAAAGAAAAACTGCTAGGGTGTCTGCTGTGGTCAGAAGAGACAATGGTACTGTATTCTGCAGGCCAGCTGGCTTATTGAGGCAGGCGCATTTTGTATTTGCTAGGCTGTGGCCTGGATAATTTTTTGTGACACTCAATTTCTCTATCAAATATTGATAATAATCTTCGAACTGCAGAGCTGGGAGGGACCTTATTGATCCTTGAGTCCAGCCTTTGTGAAAGAGGCACGGTGGGGAATTGAACTTCTAGCCTCTGGCTCTGCACCCAAAAGCCTAAATCGCCACAAAAGAAAATAAAGTCTAGATCTACATATAAAGAAGAATGAATATCCTGAGGTATTAGAAAAGAAAGCTGGGACAAAACTGGGATGAGATGGGATCTGGGCATTGTTGTGTGAGTGGAACATACATCTCAAACTTGTTGTGAGTAGAACATACCTGAAGCAAATAGATTTAGCCTGACTCATTGGTCTCTGCTATGCTAGTTTCCCTTAAAAACTTAAAATGGAGGTACGGTATATTATGAAGTAGCATGGTGGCACGTCCACAGCGTCACCTCAGAATGGTTGCTCCTCATTCTGTTGCATGTGTAGACCAGCCCTGAGTTAGGTCTACTCAAGAGGGGCACAGCCTTTCCCTAGCTTAGGGTCTCCATGGGAACCAAGAAGAGAAGAAGCCTCCAGCTCCCTGTATACGTTTTTGGTTTGAACGGAGCCTTTGTAGAAGTGGTCACCACCTACAGGTGCTGGAAGTAGGGAAAGGGAGAGATGATGTATCTCATGCACATCCCTCCTGTTGGATCTGTTCTGGGATAGATGTGGTGTTGGCGGTGGTTGTTTTGGTGGGTCTCTTTATTTAAAAAAGCAGCTCCATAACTCAGACTCAGATCAGTGGTGCATTATCGTTTCAAATGTTTCCACACCGAACACAATAGGCCCAGTGCGGATGAATGAACACAAACTGGACATTAAAAAGGAGGCTCAGTGACACTAGCCAGAGAGTAGTTGCTCTCCTTGCATGATGCTTTTGTGCTGTTTCTAGAATTTAAATGGCATAGCTTCAAAAACTCCGGAAGTTGCCTTGTAACTGGGCCAAATCCTTTCTCCCTCTGTCTAGCCTAGTCTTGTCTTAATGAATATTGACTCTCTTGCCTTTCAGGTACAGGTAGTTTCAATCATTTGTTGAATTCCGCAGAAAGAAACAGATAGGGCTTTCAGAGTCAATGAGATATTCAATGCCGCTCCCCAGTGAGTTTTCATGGCCAAGAAGGGATTTGAACCCAGGTTTCCGAAGCCCCAACCTGTCACTCAATCCACTACACCACACTGAGTACCTGAACCTTTTGACTGGAGATGTCAGGAATACAACCGGAGACCTTTTATACTCAACACGTGTCCTTATGCATGCCTAAGATACAGTCCCAGTGCAGAGAACCTTGACAGAGCAAGAAAAGAAAAAGAAAAAGATTATCATGCATCAACCATTGTGATTGCATTTCTCCAGGCTTTTAAAAAGTGTTTTCAATGTCTCTTCAATCAAAGATTGAAATTTTACTTTATTTCCTTTATATTTTATTTGTGATTGTGACATGAGTATGACACAATCAACCAGGATGGATCTTTTGCTTCTCTTCTTTCCGTCTTGCAGTTATTCTGACCTATCCTCTGGAAGGGTGGGGAGGGGCAGAGATGTACTCCCTGTCTTCTGTGCCTTTATGCATCTGCTGAAAGCTTGTCCTGCCACAATTTATCCATTTAGGGTCTAAGCTCCTCTTTAAAGCTCCAGATGTAGAAGAGGTGATACCTTTATTTAGACCACTGGTTCTTAACCTTTGTTACTCAGATGTTTTTGGACTGCAATTCCCAGAAGCCTTCACCATCATCTCTGCTGGCTGAGGTTTCTGGGAGTTGCAGTTCAAAAACACCTGAGTAACAAAGGTTAAGAACCACTGAATTTTAGACCACTAAAAAATCAAACATTCAACACAAGCTTTTGTGAATAAAATTTGCTTCCTCAAGTATAGGGTATAAAAATTATGAATGAAAGTTCCAACATGGACATGGTTAGGCCTCATCTTGAGGACTGTGTCCAGTTCTGGATACCACACTTCAAGAAGGATGCTGACAAATTGGAACAATTTCATAGGAGGACAACAAGAAAGATCAGGGGGCTGGAAACCAAGCCCTATGAGGAAAGACTGAAAGAACTGGGCCTTGAGAAAAGAAGACTGAGAGGAGACAGGATAGCACTTTTCAAATACTGTATTTGAAAGACTGTCATACAGAGGAGGGGCAGGATCTGTTCTCGATTATCCCAGAGGGCAGGACATGCAACAGTGGGCTCAAGTTACAGGCAGCCAGATTTCATATGAACATCAGGAAAAACTTACCAACTGTTGGAGCAGTACGCTAATGGAATCAATTACCTCAAGAGGTGGTGAGTGCTCCAACACTGGAGGCATTTAAGAGACATTTAGACA